GGACAGCCAACAACAAGAGCCAAACAAAGGCAGGAGGAGATCGCTGGGCGAGCGCACAGACCAAAGACAGAATAGCCTTCGCCAAACAGTGCACCTGGAAAAATAAACTGCGGAAAGCAAAATTCCATACGAAATCCCATAATTAAGTGTGACAATTTTAAGTTTTCTTATACAAATAAGAAATAAACCAGATTTTAATTATGTAACTATTTTATTGATTTACTTCTTTTACAATTACAAACTTAAGGTACAGGGAGGGATCAGACTTTATAATCACTTTCTTTCGACCTTTCATAAAGAGTCTTTATTAAAGACCTAATGATGCTTGGCAATAATACATAAATTAATTACATTTTGTTAAGCTGTAGACCCCTTTACAATTTTTTTTGTAGGTTACCGAACTTTTTTAAAAGCAATTTAACAATATGGCAATAAGTTAGTTTATCCTTTTCTTTCAGAAAACGTGTACTTTTTCTTAAGATTTAAAAAAGGCAAAAATGGCTATAATTACGTTTTTTTCTAAATTTACCTTAAAATTATGTGGAATCAACATTGTAGATCGTTTGCTTATGTTATTAGCTGGACAATACAGACAGACTTTTAGCTAGGACACCTATTTTAAAATAATTACAACAACAAGAATAATAAAAACTTGTTTTTTAACTTTAACTACAATTTTTTCTCAAAAAAAAAACATTTTTAGTACAAATTTTAAACAGTAAATATATTATTTACATTTAGTAAAATATTTTATTAATAAAAAGTAGATGTATTAAAAAGCATATTCAATCCTTTTAATTTCTCTCAGTGTGAATACCCTTGGGGCGCTGATCGCCGGCGAGGGCAGCAGGAGCAGGTCGTCAGGTGCGCGGGGCGAGGACTCGGACTCTCCTCCGTGGGTTAGGTTAGGTATAGCTATAGTATAGGTATAGTATTAGTATAGGTTCGAGCCAGGGTGCGAGTGGGCAAACATAAAGTTGCATACAAATTGCTGCCTCGTCGCTGGCCACTTGCTGGCGATGGCAAAGGCGATGGAGATGGAGCTGAATCTCGGAGCTTGGAGCTGGGAGCCGTTGATGGTGCCCCCAGACTCAGAGCGCTGGCATCTCGCGTCTTCGGCAAACACATTTTAGCCTTTTGAGCGCGCCTTGACGACAGATTTAGACGTTAAGCAGCCGCGTTAAGTGTCCCCTGGGAAAACGCGGCTAAGCATGCTCCGTGTTGACAAAACGACTCTGCAGTTTTAGCCTCAGTTGCTGTTGCTGTTCCTGTTGCTCATGTTGCTGTTGCTGCTGCTGCTGCTGCTACTGCCATGTTGCTCGAGTGCTGTCGCTGTGGCAATTTGTATAGCCATAGATGCAATCGCTGTACCAAATTTTAACACCATTAACTGACCAGCGGCAATTTTATTTATTTTTCTTTTTTTTTGCTTTTAGTTTTGCAGCCTGGCAAGGCTTTTAGCGGCTCTCGGCTTGTTTGTCTCACTTTGCTGCATATTTTCGCGCCTAATTTGCGCCGAATCGGGATCGTGCCCCACAGCCCCACAGCCCCACCCGAAAAGCCCGGCTTAAAACGCAGCTGGCCCCGAATTGTGGGTGCCTGTCGCAACATCTAGATATAGGAAAAACTAGTGGGGGATAGCTGGGCTAAATGGTGCTCAGTGGGCAATCGCACATGGACCGCACAACCGCAGAAGGTTTGAGAGCAAAGATGATTGATAGCAGTCGAAAGGGTGGATAAAGGGGGCTGCAGCCTCAATCATCAGTTTGTGGTCAGCGAAATGTGAGCCAGCAGTGGCATCAACTGACAAAACAGCAACAGAATGTCATAATTGATAGCGACAGAGAGCCCCACAGAGGCACCAGGAAAGTCCCGGGTTCTTGGGTGGATTAAGCACAAATTGTGTTTATGTTCAACACATGGGAACTGTGACAAGTTAATATACGAGTAGCAACAAATCCGATTATAGGCATGACTTGATTTCATTTGCATCTGGCCATGGGTCCTCCCCTCTTGAAAGCCCCTCCTTTCCCGATCCTCCTGCTGTTGTCGTCCAGCCACCGTCCTAATTGCATCCCATGGACATAAAAATTAATTATAAATTCCATATTTGGCCGAGGGGAATGTCGCGAGTGTTGCTGATTTTATTGTTATGGTCAACCAGTTCTGAGTTCTGCAGCTGGGGCAGTAGTTCCTGCCACTCGAAGATCGAAGAGGTAAAAAAAATACACAGCCCCAAACAAAAGACTCGGGCAACGAACGTTCGGTCAGCTATTCAGTTTAATTTAAATGGTTTTATAATTTATTTGAGGCCGAGGACCACACACATAAAAACACTCCTCCGCCAGCACACCGAATATATCGCCCATATGTAACACAAATTATCTCGTGGCCAATTTAAAATGTTTAATTTATCATAAAAACCAACCAGCAGAGGGACAGTCTTTGGCTTAGAAAATAGAAACCAAGTCCAAATGCGATAAATTTGTACAATAAAGAACAAAACTGATTTCCGTCTAATGCGATTGACACCTAAAACACAAACAAAGTGGAGGGAAACCCAACTCGTTGCCCGCTTTGTTTCGCTTCATTTCTAATTCCAATTCCTGTTAAAATCGAAGTCAAACAAAACAATACACAAAACACACGAAAATAAACCGAAATACAAGATACATAAATAATGTTATTAACATAGGCACACCACTCCACTCCGATCTATCCGTAACTGTGGGACTGGTCGGGTCAGGTTGATTAGCTCATCACTTTGGGCCACTAAAAAGACACTTCCAGCTGACACTGATTGGTCGCTGTGGTCCACAACTTGACAACGAGTAGTCAGCCCAAAAGACACTGCCGGCGCGAAAGAGATGATCAGGTATAGAGTCAGAAAATTTAAAAGTACTTGATACCCTATAATCGATTTATAGTTTTTAAATATTTTAATGGTAATGTTTTATTGAATTATTCTGAACCAAAAATCACGGATCGTAACTAAAACTAATAACAAATTATTTAATTTCAGTTTTATTGTTTTTACAATTATTTATAATTCTATATATTGTATACCTACATTGTATTTCTTAAAGAAATAAATGTTTTTTATTTGTTCATGCCAAAATATTCTAAAATATATGCTTAAAATAAGAATATTTTAATATTTTAAAAATTATGTATAGAATATCCATAATTCCAATATCCCCAGTAATATCCCATGTTTCGTGTTCAAAAAAATAAATAAATAAATGATTTCTTTTAGGCCTTATAGAGTGGGCAGACACTGACTGTCTGTTTAGAGACAAACTGTCATTATTTACGGAATTAAAATGTCCAAACTCCGCAGATGCGATGTTCCGATGTTCAACTTTGATCTTTGGGCTCTTTGCATAAAAATGTCATCCCTTACGATTAATTATGTGGAGGAAAACATAATTCGATTAGAAATTCTAGAATTTCGGTTTCCGATGGGAAAAGTTAAGAGACCTGTGTGTGTGTATATATCCTTTTCCAAACAGAGTTCACGCTCCCAGGCGCTGAGTTTGGAGACCGGTCGTCGGGTTCGGGTTGGAACAATTAGCCGACTGATTTATCTATCTGGAGCACTGGCCACTGACATCGAATGCCGGGCTCCGCTTACATTTGATTTGATTTGATGTGAGGTGATGTGTGCGCCTACGAGCGAATGTGTTGCTTGTGCAGCAATAGCAATAGCAGCCGGCAACTAGCAACTAGCAACCAGCAACTTGCAACTCGCAACCAGCAGCAGCAGCAGTTTCTGTTGTGGTGCAAACGCATAATCGTAAAATTTGCAGTGGAATGTTGCAATATTTTTCGCGAGTCGCGAGCAATTTGCGCGTGAATTATTCCAAACGTTGCATTACAAATGATTTCAGCGGCGACCACAACGACCAGTGTCTTTAATTGGCTCACAACGAGGAAGTCATTGGCCCAGCGCTCTCCTTTTAGCCCCCCTCCCTGTTTTTCCTCCAGCCGCGAGAACGTGATGCAGACAAAAGTTTCGGCTTTGGCCGTAAAATCATATTCCACTTGGCCTTTTCCATGAATGTCACACTTGAGCAGCAACTGAAGATGGGAAGCTGTTGGTCGCGGGTGTTGCTGCGGGGCTCTGGATGTGTTGCAGCTGGGACCTACGACTCTATTAAGGTGGCGAGTGCGTGAAACTTTTTGCAGGCTTCCATTTAATTTCCATGGCCGATGGCTGGTTGCATTTGCCTAAGCAGCCATTGTTGCATGTTGCCTTGCTGCTTTGTTGCCCTGCTGCTTTGTTGCCCTGTTGCTCTCCGGAGTCGTCGTCAATGTCTTGACTGTTGTCGTCTGCATCGCTGCTGCCATGTAGGTAATTCCTGGAAGTTAATTTCATTAAGAGCAACTAGCAATGCGCGGCGTATTTATTAGCCACACGATATATTGTATGGGCCATGGCTTTGTTTTTCAAGGAATCTGCCGCCTGGCTGTTCCATGCATTTGTGGAATTCATCATCGGCGGCGACAGGCGGCCGTGGCAGCAACATCCCATCGCAGCAACAGGCATTTCCCCTGAGCAACTGTTGCTGCTGTTGCAATTTTCATAACTTATTGCTGGCATGCAAGGCAGACCCGGATCCGGTCGCGCTTGTTGCCGCTAAATATGGCGCGAAATTTCCTTAACTAAATGAAGAAATACGCGCAAGTGCGATTTCCAGTTAATAAAATTAAACAGCCCAACTCGGGGCTGGGATTTAAAAATAACGCTTGCACTTGTAAAATTCTTATTAATTCTGATTGCAAGGCAAGGATTTCTGCTGGCGGAGAGCAGGGAAAGGGGAACCTTGTTGTCATTGCGCCTCCATTTGGTCACAGTCATGCCGACAAGTGTTGTACACGCATTCCAGATACTTTTCCATCATTAGCCGATCGTCGTGGCCGCTGTTTCTTGATCCGATCTGGGCAAACACCTGCCGCAAGATGCCATTTGGAGAAAAGCACTTGAACAACTGGTCAACTGAGGCGATTGATTCCCTGCAATGGGGCTTTATTGGAACACGGATAACACGCAGCTTAAATGCTAGTCAATCTCAGGCCTCGAGTTACATCGAAACAAGATTCATACAAAGACCGCAGCGGCGGCCCTGTTTACAAAACAAATCCAACATGGCATACAAACTAGTTTAGAGTTTAGAGATTCGAAATAAGAACAGTGTTTACGGGTCAGAAGAAAATGCAATACACGACAATTAACATTAGGACGACAAACAGCACGAACAGCTTCGACTTAATGTGGTACTTCTGCTCCAGGCTGTTCCACCAGCGACCGAAGGCCACGGACACGCTGTTCTCGTCGGGACGCAGGGAGCGCCTGGCCCGCGGCTCATAGCCCAGAGATCCGCTGGCCGCCGTGCCGCTGGCCAAGGTGCGTCTGCTGTACGGGCTGCTGCGATCGCCGATCCTCTCGGCCCGCAAACGGGCCAGATTCTGGGCAAAGGTGCTCTCAAACTGGGCATCCTCCGCCTCGTTGTCGTCGCTCAGCTCGTTGGCATAGGTGCGCTGATAGCCGGACGAGTACGAGGCCACCGGCGGAGCTTCGGCAGTCACGTAGCCCTGGGCAGCGGTACGCACATAGCTGCTATAGCGACCGGGTGCTAGATTCGGGCTTTGATAGTCGTATGACCTGGCCGAACTGGTGATTTTGCTGCGGGCAGAGGGCACAGATGGCGCTGCTGAGGATTCATAGACCTGCCGGCGTGGAGGATCCACCACCTGGCTTTTGTACTCGTAAGTAGTAGTGCCGCTGCTGGTGAGCTTGTTCCTCGAAGCCGCCTTCTCCCTGGCCGCGTGCTGCTGCTCCACCAGATCAGCAGCCTGGGCCAGCTGCTCGTCCTCCTCCTCGTCGGACTCGAGGACAATCAGGGAGTTGACCTTTAGGTGGTTTTCCTGATGATCAGTGCGTTTGGAGTATGTAGGTTCCTCGGCAATGGTTGGTGGCTTCTTCACCGGCTCCACGGGCTTGCGGTCGTTTCCACTGGAGGTGGTGGAGGAGCGACGGGTCACAATGGGTGCAGGGGCTGCAGCCACGGGCTTCCTGGCGACCACCGGCTCCTCGGGGCGTCGGCGCTCGGCTTCCTTGGCCTCCGTGGCGGCGATGGTGCGGCGGGCCTTGGTGGCCGGGGCCACCTTATTCCCGTCCAGCTTGTCCACCGGCGTGGAGGCGGCCGCCGGGGCAGAGGAGGCCACTGGAGCCAGCGTCTCGCGCCTGCTGCTCTTCTTGGGACTGCCGGCTGCCGGCGCCGCCTGGCCGCCAATGGAGGCGCGCAAACGCTTCACCAGCACCTTGCGGCTGCTGTCCGTCACCGGGATGTTGGGCAGCCCCTGGGCCAGCATCTTGGCGCGCAGCTCTGCATTGGACAGCGAGTCAAAATCGTCCACGTCGGCCATTGTTCCTCGTTTTTTTCGCACACTTTTTCGTAAATCGTTGAAATTGAAATCGGCGTCGCTTTTACGCGGTGTGTGCTAAAATGGTGATGGGCGCGGTATCAACTATCGATAGCACTGTTTCGGTGGTTGTTCAACACTGAAAAGTCACGCTTTAACGGTTTATTACCAGAAACAGTAAAGAATTAACTAATTAATAAAACTTGTAATTATAAACTTTTTAATTATTTCGTATTTTTTTTGTTAAGCTCAAGTTGGATTTATCAAACCGAGCTTACCTTGAAATTAAAACAATTATCATAAAAGGTCTTACTTCTTCTATAATCACAGTTTCAAACAGCAATTATAAAAGTCTTGCTAATTACTTTCTTGAATTGAATTTTTAATTACTTTTTATCTTCTTCATTTTAATTAAATTTTTTTTTATTTATCTGCTAATTAAATAGTGACTTGAGAGTCACATTTTAGCTCATCCCCATTTCGATAACAGGCGAAAGTGAGTCTATCGGTTTCTGCAATGAACAAAATCAACAAAACACAAAAACAAGCATAAAACATAAACTAGTATTAATTATCATTTAAATACCAATGCAGGCTTTGCATTAATAACTTAAGTCAACGAACAACAAACATTCCAAAGGAGGGGAGATTAGAACTTAGAAGACAAAGGAACGCCCACGCACTCTGGAAAAGATTAATCATGGACATCTCAAAGGCACCTAATCCACGAAAATTGGATCTTTGTCGCAAATATTTCTTTGGTAATATCCAATATCTAATCTTTTATAAATCATATAATATTATTTTTTCCAATTTTAGCTGGTTTTGCCTTCCTGCCTTTTGTGTGGGCAATTAACGTGTGCTGGTTTTTCCAGGAGGCCTTCTATAAGCCTCCGTATCCCGAACAGAATCAGATTAAGAGATGTAAGATTACCCATGGTTATACCTCAAAAAAAAAACCTCTAATTGTGTGTATTTTCTAACCTCCCTCAGTTGTTATATTCTCTGCGGTGGGAACTTTATTCTGGCTTATAGTACTCACTTCCTGGATAGTGATATTCCAAACAAATCGCACATCTTGGGGCGCCACTGCCGACTATATGAGCTTTATCATCCCGCTAGGGAGTGCATAACGAAAAAACCTAGAAATAACCAACTTATGATATTAAAAAAAGACTTATTTCCAATCATCAAACCGTTTATTATTAATTCCCCACATATATTCCAATTAAACCCATTCAATCCAAAACAACTGCTTGATTTAATTACATATTTTTTATTCACATCTAAAGCTGTTTTTGTTTTTTATAATTTTCTGTATACTTTAAATATGTGTACTATATTTTGTTGAAATTTCTTAGCCGCTAGTTATGTGTTTTGTTCATATTCGTCCATATTTGTATGCTTGATTTAGCTTTAGTTAGCCGTTTTGTGGATTACATTCTTTGCTTAGATACAATTTCATTGTTTCGAATTCAATTCAATGCGCTTTTTATCCTTCTCTAAAATACATATTTTGTATAAAACTCTGCTTGTACCATTACATAAGCCATTATGGTAATTTGTTAAACCCCATTTAATTGTTATGTGTTGTGTGTTTGTATCCGTGAATCGAATGCTTTCTATGATTTGATTACAAATTGCATTGAGAATGTCAAAAAACCTAGCGACTCTAAATGGGTGTAAGGAAATCACTCGCTCATCTACACATGAAGACATAATTCAAATTGCTATTATGCGGTAATTCGCTTTCGTTTCGATTTGTTAACGTGTTTTGCAGCAAATGCTGCGAGCACATTTAGTACATTACAATATGATGCATTAATGTTTATAACACGAACTTGGTGGCCACTGCACCGAGCAAGGCCACCAAATCAATCAGTGGAACTAATTTACAATACAAAAGACTCGCTTTAAGGTATATTTACATTCAATACTTGTTTTATTTATAAATTCTAAAGAATAATTAATGTGTGTGTTTTAGGGGCTAGGATGTGGGAGTTTTGGGGGTAAGGATTCGTGTTCGTTTCTTGGGAGAGCTTAGGCTAAAGAACATTAAGTGCCATAAATCACGCGTGTAGAGTCTATGAAGCGGCTAGTGAACTACTACACACCCACATTCACATAGATAATCGTTTAATTACACATATATCTCGCCCTCGTTATCATATCATATATGCATATGCGTATAAATATTTAAAGTACAAATTGATGCTTAGAAACAATTTAAATTAGTGTGCGGCTGCTGGCCGAAAAATTCATCGTAGTCATTCACGGAGAACTTATAACATAGAAACTACGGATACGAGTAGTACACACATAGATATAGATTTAGATACACATAATATATATATATATATTTATAAGAATTGAATGGGCGGCGCGCCCAATTTGTCTTTTAGATGCAAATCCCGCGCAGCTCCATCCGCAACACAGATAAGGATAATTAATACACACGCTAAATGCTAAACTTGTACGTCCTACTTGCATAATTTAATCATTTAGAATCTTTTAGTTAAACAATATCCATACATTTTCATTTCTTAATTTCGTTTCTCTTTCGTTAAATATTTATTTTTACAAAGAAATCAACACGCTACAGTATCGGGTTTGTTTCGTTTTCATTTTGTTTTTTTGTATGTTTGATGTTATCTGTTTGTTTGTTCATGTTCGGTTTACGCCTCTCTCGTATGATATAAATATAAATATAGATATCTATATGCAGATGCAAATACACTTAGGAAAAAGTCGCTATATGTAGTTATGCTATATATATTTATATATGTATAGGTTGTATGTGGTAATAGTAGTGATACCTTAGGCTAGTTATAGTTAACCACGTTGAACGAAACATCAAAAAATACTTATGCATATAAATAGTCGATTCTGATTCTGTGTTCCTCTCGGTTCCCCGACCGCCGATGCATCAGCATCGAAGGGACGAGCCTACTCTTTGAGGCAGCCTAGACAGCGACAGATTTCGACGATTGGAAGAGGTTGGAATCCAAACGGGGAACAAAGCCTTATCCGTCTCCCATTGCTGCATCGCATTCCGCCGCTCCGCATTAGTTGTTCTTCACGTTATACGCCTTCTTCTCGTTGCTGCCGTTCAGTGGATCTCATTTCGACGGACCCGGCGGAAACGGGTTTATCACAGCTACAGCAGCCGCTTGCTGGCTAGCCAAAACAGCCGCTAAAGAGAAGAAGATTTAGATTAGTATTTAACTCTTTGTATCAAACGCCATTTACAAAACTCACCTCCATAGGGCGCCGGGTACATGGGATAGCCGAGGCCGACGTGCGTGTGGTGGTGGGTGTGCACATGGCGCTGTGGCGGCGGACTGCGCGAGTCGGCGGCACCTGCACCGCCTCCTCCCGCCGCGCCATTGCCCGCAGCGCCGCCTCCCACTCCGCCCACGGCTCCATTGCCCGGCGGCCCGTTTGGCGGCGGACCGCCGGGCATCGACTGCTTGTGCCCGTCCAAGGACGAACCGGGTGTCACACCGCCGTGTCCTTTGGGGCCGGAGAGATCCGGCTTGCTGCCGGGCGCCGGGCCCATTCCTCCGGGTGGTGGCTGTAGGTTCAGCGGCACACCGCCCGCAGACCCAGGTGCCGAGCCGGGCTGCTGGTTGGGACCGCTGCCGGGGCCGAGGACGCCGGAAACGGGTCCGGATCCGGGGCCGCTGCTCGTGGGACCGCTGCCCTGCTGGGGCGGCCCGATGCTGGGACTGCTGACGCTCACCTTGACGGGGCCGCTGCCGCTGGTGGGCGACTTGAGGGCCCGTTCGCTGAGCTCGTGGATCTTGTGGGTGGTGTAGTACTGGCTGGCCGCGTGATGCAGTGCATCCAGGGCCTTGGTGCCGGTGTTCCGCGAGAGATCTTCGGGCGCGTGGTAGCGCGGGATGGGCAGGTGATAGGGTGCCGTATTGTACGGTCCGGCTGCCGACATCAACACGTTGCGGTACATCGGATGATTGGGATCGAAGCCGAAGGGCGTGGGGGAAATGTACGAGGGGTGGAGGAAGTACTGCGACGTGGGTGGCGGTGGCGGACCCTGCGTCTCCATGGTCGGCTTCTGGCCCTCCTGCTTCACCTTCAGCGGCTGATCATCGTCGCCGCCGCCCTTTTGCTTGGGCGAATCCTTTGTCAGGTTGGTGGCCTTGTTATTGGCCGCCGCATTTGCCGCCTGCGACTGCTTTAGTTTTTGCTGCTGCTGTTGTTGCTGCTGTTGTTGTTGTTGCTGCTGCTGTTGTTGCTGCTGCTGTTGATGTTGTTGCTGCGCCTGCTGTTGTTGGTGTTGCTGTTGAAGGTGCTGGTGGTGCTGCTGAATCGCCTGCTGTTGCTGCTGTGCCATTTGCATCTGCTGTTGTTGTTGCTGCTGCTGCTGTTGTTGCGCGGATCCCATGCCTGGCTCATCCTTGTGCATCATGCCGGGATGAGGCTGAAGGCCTCCACTGGCGGCGTTCTGAGCTGCCGCGGCAGCAGCGGCGGCTGCCTGATTCTGTCGCCCCGTGAACATGTAGTACCTGGATTTGGAAGGATATATATGTTAGTCACATCTTCTAAAACTTGGAAGTTATGTACTAAAAGTCTTGAATAGAGCATGCAAACCTTATATCACCCTTTTTTAAACCCCATTTTTGGGTTTCCCCAAAAACCAACCCCCAAAAAAATTTAAAAATTTAAAAAAAAAAAAAAATTTTTTGAATTCTTAAGCTCAAGATGGTTATTTGTGTATAATATTTAAAATTAAAGGATACTATATATTGACATTTTTTTCACTTCTTCCGCCCATGCGAATTCTTGTTCTAAAGAGTTTGCGGTTTTTAAAAAATCGATATAGAATTTATCATTAGGTTTCTTTAGTTAAGTTATGTATAATATAATTAATATGTATATATTATGTATATATAATATAATATATATCCTCTTGTTCCTAAGAATTCGCGGTCTTTGAAAAATTAATATAGAATTTATCATTAGGTTTCTTTAGTTAAGTTATGTATGATCCACACAAATAAATCCTCTTGTTCTTAATCTCCAAAAAAAATGTATATATATTATAAAACAATCAATTACCGTCTCAGGTCCTCGTCGCGCGCCTGCTGCACTGCCGCCAGGCTCATCGAGTGGCGCTGGTAAATGGTGGGATAGGCGCCCAGTGCCTGCAGATCCTTGGGATGCAGGGCATGCGGCTGCTGTGGCTGCGGCGGTGGCAGCTGTTGGGGTTGCGGCGCCGGCTGCTGTTGCGGTGGCGGATGTTGCTGACCCGGATTTGAGTTGGGTTCCTGCTTGATCTCCTGCTTGGTCAGGGGCTCCTGCTTGATCAGCTTGTTGGCAATCATCTGGGGGGAATATTTTGCATTAGTTTTCGGAAAAGATGCAAAATATGAATTATATAAACTCACCTGCTGCTGCGGTGGCAAATGCTTCGGCTGGTCGTGCGGACTGGGACTCTCCTTAAGGCGCTCTTCCTTGATACTGATCCCCGACAACTGTTGTGCTTGTGAGCTGGGCGGCAGACCCGGATGACCACCTAGTTTGGCGGCCTCCTCGGAAGCCACAATTGAAACGGACCCAAAGTTGGGATCGACATTGTACGGATACGCAGGCGGAATAAAGCTACAAGGAAAAATCATAAAATTGGTTAGTAATGTTCTCGTGATTTCCTTTTAAATAATATTTATTATCACGGTAAAAACTTACTTGAAGGGATAGAAGTGTGGCATGCCTTTACCCGGTCCAGGACCCCCTAGACCGGCTGCCCCCAGCGCCGAGAGTCCACCTAGACCAGGTGGCAGAGCTCCTGGCGGCGGTCCAGCCACTGCACTGAGGTTCACCGGCGGCGGCTGGGATCCCGGCTGCGAGGTGGGCGGTCCAACGATCTCCTTGCCATTGTTCTCTGACTGCTGGCCCTGCTGCTGCTGCGGTGGCTGCTGACCCGGCTGTGGCTGCGGTTTGGTCATCAGATCCAACGGTGGATCCTTGTTCTTGCCACTGTAGTCCGCCAGGTGGGCGGCCACCGACTGCTGCTGCTGGCCAGGTGGGCCCAGCAAATGATTGGGGGGCTGTGAGGTAGGCGGAGGAGCACCCGGCTGCATCTGCTGCTGTTGTTGAGCTTGTGTCAAAGCAGGTGGCAATCCTGGTGGTTTGCCCGGCTCCGTCTGCACCATGTATTGCGGCTGTTGTTGCTGCTGTTGCGGTGGAGGTGGCGCCTGCTGCTGCGACGGGTAGAACTGGTACATTCCCGGCACATACATGTTGGGAGCCGGGGCTGGTGGTACACCAACACCCACCTCCGTTGGCTTCTTGCCCATTAAATCTATATGCTTGGCCGCCACCACCTGGCCCACTGACTTGTCCAGCAGCTCCTGCTCGGCCACGGGCGTGGAGTCATCGGAGATATCACTGTAGGCCGGACTCTGTACATCCTCGCGCGAAACACGACCCTCAAAGTCACTTGGTCCGGGCGACTTGCGGTTCTTCTTCTGCTTGCTGCCAGCGGCACTCACAACGTTTACGGAGCCGAATCCAGGCGAAGTCTTCAAACCGGCCTGCTGGGCATAGGCCGATGGCGTCTGTTGCTGATCCTGCTGGACATGACTCGGCGCCCTGGGAGGCGACTGTTGCGTTTGTGGATTAACCGAGGGTTGTCCCGGCTGCAGGGGATTTCCATCTGGAGGGCCAAAGCGCAGAACTCCCGCTTTAACTGGAAAAGGGGATACAATAAAAGTTAAGCAGGGCCTATAAAATGATTCCTGGGGTCGAGAACTTACGTGCTCCCTGCTGCATCAAGGCCTGCTGCTGTTGATCTGACAGCATTGCCGGCAGTCCACCCATTAGCTGTTGCTGGTGCTGTGACAGCGCTTGTCCAGAGATTCCAGCGGTGATGCTGCCTCCGGCCACCGGTTGTTGCTGCTGCTGCTGCTGGTTGCTTGCCGCGCTGCCTCCTGGGGTGAGCAACTGCTGCTGCTGCTGTTGTGTGGGAGTCTGTTGCTGCTGTGTCGCGGCATTTGGACCTGCTGTCAGTGGAAGATTGCCCAGCGGCAGTACTGATGCTGCAGATTGCTCTGCCCCAGGTGTTGCCACGGCACAAATGGGAACTGTAGCTGGTGGCGTGGCTGGTGGAGGTGCAGAGATTGGCGCTGTCGATTGTGTCTCCACCATAGGGACGCTGGGGGCGGTAAGAGATACCGATCCAGTGGCTGGTGTCGTGGGTGCAGCACTGCCATTGGTGACGGGGTTGCTGGAATTGGCGGTGGGCGTGTTCGGCGGTACTGCCACTGTTCCCTGACCCGCTGAAGGCGCTGTTGCTGGGGCTGCCGTCACAGATGCTCCCGCTACTCCCGCTCCACCACTTGCTACTCCTGGCGAGGGCGGCGTGGCCGGCTCCTCGGCTCCTCCTTGCATCGAGTCCTCATCCATGGAGCTGGCACCACCGCCCGCTCCGTGGGCATGCGACTGGTGATAGCGCAGCCCATTGGCGTGCTTGTACTTCTTGCTGCAGTCCTGCTCGGGACACTCGAGCAGAACCGGGGAGATCGCGCAGGGCGAGGCAGTCTTACATTTCTTGGTGCTGATCTGCACATTGAGGCCAGTGACCGGATTGAGCAGGCTCTGCGGCTGCGTGGCCAGGCCACCGCCGCTGGCCGAGATGGGAATGCCGCTGGCGTTGACCATGTTAACTCCACCAGCTCCACCGCCGATACCGCCGCCAGACGCTCCTCCGTCCGCTGCATCGCCGTTGAGCGGCGAGGGCGCCTCGTCCTTGGACTTGCGCTTCTCGGGACGCGGCGGCAAGAACGCTGTCGGTGATGTACTGGGCGTGGCCCCGCCTCCGTTGCCCGACGAGCTGCTGTTGCTGTTCGCTGCCGCGTTGCCCGAAGCACTGCGCGTCGCCCCGCGTCCCTTGGTGGCACCATTGGTTGCACCGCGTAACGTAAAATTACTTTTGCAGCTTTTGAGTGCAAAAAACCTGGGCGTGTTTTTTGAAATTTTATTGTAAATCTGTAAAATGGAGTAAATTGAATGTTTTTTTTAATTTTTTTTTAAATTTATAAATATAAAAATTTCAATGAAATATTCATTAATTTACTTACCGAACTTCTGGTCTCGGTGAAGTTGCTCAGGTCGGGCGTGAGACCTGCACTACGTCCGCGCTTGCCGCGTCCCTTTGGAGTTCGAGAATCTAATTCTTCAGTTGGTGAATCACAGAATCTGAAAGACAGGACAGAAATAAATGAGTAATCAGCTTTTTGAAAGCTGGCACTGTTTGCAGTCCCCACAGATATCATATTTCTATAATCAAAACAAAACCACATATCTGGGATCTTGGTTATCTTGATTAGCACATTAAGCATTTAACCCGTAAATAAAACATTGTTTAGATTAACAGTCAGAAATGCTCGAGGAGTTAACACGTTTCAAACTGATGCCCAAAAAGGGGTAGAAAAGATAAATGAAAATAAAAAAATCAACTTGCAACATAATATTGAAAGGCATTCTTTATTAATTTATCTAATCTCTACAGTAATAATTTTGGAAACAGTTTGAAAAGCATATCACCACCGTAAGACCCAACTCAATTCCCAGCCACACCCACCCACTCACCTTGGAGGAGCCCAATCGTGTCGGGTGCAGTCGAGCAGGGTGCCCACGTAGGTCTTGCCCCGCCACGTCACGTTGACCACGAGAACGCCGCCCTCGGTCTCGTGCCACACGATTCCCTCGAGGGTCACGGAGGTGCCGGGTTCGCATGGGCCCAGGCAGTCCGGTTCGGTGATGGTGCCCACCGAGGTGCCGATGCAGATGTCCACCATCTCCTTGTTGCCGCCGCCGCCGCCTGTTCCGCTGGCCCCGGCCTCGTGCTTGGCCCTCTTGGCGGGCGGCGATTTGGTGTCCTCGTCTCCGGTTCCTGCGCTGCCCGCCGGCACCGAGATCGTGTGGTGCATAGTGGCTGAGATCATGCCGGGTGCCATCAGCTTGGCCTGGGCTGCCGCTCCTGCTTTGCCCTCCGAGCCGCCGGGAGTGCTGTTCGAGCCCTGATTCGAGTTGGCTCCACTCCCGCCGCTGTAGCTATTGGAAGCGGCAGCCGCTGCCAGCTGGGCGGCAATGTGCGAGGAGATCTTAATGCTGCCGGCGGATTCCTTTCCTGGCGGACCAGGTGCATTGGCACCGCCGCCTCCTCCAGATCCGCCGGCACCACTGCTGGCCAGTTGGGAGGCGGACGAGGATGCTGCTCCGGTGGCCGCCAGTAGAGAGGCTGCCGCTGGCACCGCCGTTGATGGTGAGCCGGCCGAGGGTGAACCCGCCGAAGGTGTAAATACACCCGGTGGCACTGCCGAAATGGAAGATGAACCACCGGGTTGGCCAGGGCCGCCACTAGAGTTTGAACTACCGGCCGAGTTTGACATGTGTGCGGCGCGCCGAATGCATGCGTGATTAGAGCAAGGTGCTCCCACCTCTCCGTTGCACGAGCAAGTCGATCCGCCGGCTCCCTTCTCCGGTGTATCCTTCTCTCCGGCCGCCGAGGCTGCCGCCGCTGACTTGTCCACGGACATGCGATTGGAATGTGCGTTCTTGTCCTTGGTCTTCTCGCGCCGATGACCCGAACTGCCGCGTTTGGTGCCCTGCGGCGTGGACTGACTGCCGCCAGAGGATCCCCCTCCGCTGGCATGGCCACCGGCATTGTTCTGGCTACCGCCTCCTCCTCCGCCGGACGAGGAGGAGCCACTGCCGGCACTCGCATTGTTCAGATGCTTCTTGCTGCTGCCCGACGAACTGCCGCCGCCGCCGCTGCTGGAGGAGCTGCCGCTACTGGCACCACTACTCGACGAATTGTTGCCCCCCAGGGAGGAGGCGTTGGTGGAACTGGAACCGGAGCCGGAACTCCCATCCTCGTTGGCCGAGCTATTGGATCCGGCGGCGCCAAGGGCTCCGTTCTGCTGCTGGTCGGCGGTGGCCTTCACAATCTCGTGCTTGGCCTCCGAGCTCTTGGTGCCCGGCTTGGTGCGCTTGATCTTCATTTTGAGTCCTTTGTCTAGCGTCGCCTGGTGGTCTATGGACATCTTTGCGCTCGATTTACCACTGGAGGAGCTGGAGCTGTTACCGCTACCGCTTCCGCTGTTGCCGCCTTGCGAACTCGGCGGCCCACCGGCGTTTGTGTTGCTGTTGTTGCTCCCGCTGCCGCTTCCGCTGTTCCCTGCGCTGCTGCTGCCTGAGCCGCTGCCTCCGCTTCCGCTGCTGCTGCCGTTGTTGTTGTTGCTGTTGCTAGTGTTGTTGCCGCCGCTGCCGCTGCCCGTTTGCGAGGACATGCCGCCAGCGGAGAATTTGGAGCCCGCTTGTCCACTGCCAGCCACTGTAGCTGCTGCTGCTGCCGCTCCTGTCGCTCCCGAGGACACTAAGCTGCCGCCCTTGGAGAAGCCCGCAAATGTCGAGGATGACAATGTGCTGCCGGCTCCAGCTCCCGCTGCTCCGTTTGTGTTCCCGCTTCCACTCCCCGAGCCACTCAGGGACTTGGAGCTACTGTTCAGTGGACTCGGACTGTTCAGTTGAGCCACCAAAGCAGACTTGTAGCCCTTGGAGCTGCTCCCGCTGCTGCTGCTCGAGCTGGAGTGATGGTGGTGATGATGGTGATGCTTCCCCGACGAAGAGGAGGATGTGGAGGACGAGGAAGAGGATGAACCCTTGGCCACCGCGTTCGCACTGCCGCCACTGGGCGCTGCAGCTGCCGACGAGGAGGAGGAGGAGTTAGCTCCGCCACTGGCCACCGGCTGGCGTGTGAACTTAATTGTGGTTGGCGATGTGGCCGACAAATTGCTGTGCAACGTGGTCTTGTGCGATTTGTGCGAGGATGCTGCCGCTGCTGAGGATGAAGACGCTCCGCTCTTGGAGGATGATGAGGAGGATGTGGAGGAGCTGGTTGCCTGCTTGGCATTTAGCGCGGTAGCCTGGTTGCCACCACCCGAAGAATGCGCCGACTTCTCGATGTCCGCGTCCAAGTCGTCCAGCAGCTCTGGTATGCCGCCAATGTTCCACTCGTCCTCGTACTCGAAGTTCGTGTCCTTCGACTCGCTCGAGTTGGAGCTGCTCGACGAGGAGAGCGACGAGGAGGAGGAGTTGCAGGCGGGGCTCTTGCCAGGTAGTTCTGCGGAGGGAGAAGGAGGAGAGAGTTGCGATTAGGTGAGAATTGCCGCGTCAGTGTCAGGGGGTCAGTGGCGTAATGAAAAGGGGGTAATGCTTTTTTGATAAAATTGTGAATCTACTAAAGTGAATAAGTGATATTATTTCATTTTAAAATATGCATATTTTCTTAATTTAATTCATTTTGAAATTTCTCTTAAAAACATCGAAATTACTTGTAAAGTATTTTTTGGAAACGCAATTTTTATTAAATTAAGTTTCAAAATGAATGCCTTAATATAATTATGCAAAAGGATTGTTCCGCTGCAGCTGTGTAATTTAATGCGTACATTTATCCCACCCCCCTTTAAAATGTGTAATCCTGCCTACACCACTGGTGATATAGCAACAAAAAAATGAGAGCCAGCGAGAGATTTGCAGTTACTTACTCGAGTTTGTGTGCTTCTTGATCGCACTGGAGTTGTTGTTGTTGTTGTGGTTGCTCTTCTGATTATTCGCCGATGCTGCTGCTGCCGCAGTGGTTGTTGTTGTTGCCTTCGTTTTGTTATTGAAATTCAGCGCTTGATTCGCCGTTGTCGCCGTCGATGTTGTTGTTGCTGCTGCTGTTCCTGCTGTTGCCGTTGTAGCTGTAGCTGCTGCTCCTGCCGCACTTAAATTAGCTAACAATTTATTACTCTTAATATTGCTTTCCGTTGCTACGTTGCTGCTATTCAGGGCCACCTGCGAATGCAGAAAGAAAGAACAAATCCAACAAAATAAGTATCAGCCGTATGGGTGTGAGTGCGTGAGCGTGTGCGAGTGCGAGGAGGAGGGCAAGAGGAAAACTCCAAAAGCCGAGATAGAAATTTAAACCGCTTTCGCCTTACCTTCGCCAGCTTCTTTTCCATTCCATAACCATAATTAGTTTTGTGCCTATGTGGTATTGTTAATGTTTTAAATAACAGAAAAACAAAAAACGAAAACAATAAATAAATAAGCGACGTTTCTCTCGAATATTTTGCGCGAGCCTCTCCGCGGCGTCCTTTTTGAACGACTGAAAACGGAAAACCAACACAAAAAAAAAAAGAGCCGAAGAGCAACCACCGAAAACGGCATGGGAGAGGAGAGGCAGAGAGAGAAGAGCGGAAGAGAGGCGGCGGAGAGACGGAGGCAACAACAAAACGCTTTTAGTGTTGGAAAACGCGAATGGCCTGTAGTAACTGACAATTTTAATTGTGCCTTGATCTCGATCATGTTTCTCTGCCCCTTTAACTAATAAATCAAATCACTTCGCTACTGTCCCAATAAACCAATAACGAAATGAGTAAAGAGTGTAGTTGGTTTGCTGGTCAGTTTCTTATCGTCTACTCCGCTTATCGCACACTGCAAAAGTGTAGTGGCCACTTGAGAAAGCAGCCGGAAAAAAAAACGCCACTCGAGTGCCCCAAAATGATGACAATAAAATAATTACGCTCTTATCGCCCACTAAATGTACAGAATGGAAGTGGAGGGGGTTACGTGGATAAACAGTGTTGCCAACTTTTAAACCTCCTATATAAGCTATAAACACTCCCCACGATTAAGTAGCCAAACAAGACTTTTACTGGTGCTAATAAAAATATAATCTCTCGTTATATTATTGTGTAGTCGAAAATAAAGAATCTTTAAATTTGGAATGACGTCTAAGTATTTATTTTCTATGTACTTATGTATATGCCGTAAAAGTGTTATTAAGATTTCTATTAAAGTTATGTACCTTCCTAGTGTTTGAATTTTAATAAAGTTTAATTTCAGAAAAAATCTAACCAATTAAATTGAATATTTGAAATATAATAACCGAGTTAAATTTCAATATTAATGATAATATTGTATGAATAAGAAATCCAAAAAAATCTATCGAAAACACTGTTAATTTCCTCCTAATCTAAGTCTTAGCAAGATAAAGAAATTCATTAATTACTTATTATACTTGGTTAGAAAGTGATCACAGTTTTTTTTAAGTAGTTACATTAATTAGATAAGCTGGCAACACTGGATAGATAGATAGATAGATAGAAGGTAGTGTGGATAGTTTTTGGAGCTCTTTTGAGCTCTAGGTGACACATTTGCTTACCTTATTCGGGTGGTGGCTAGTGTTCGCCTCGTTACGTCTCATTGACTCCATGCAGACGCAAACGATCGGGCGGCCGCACTGCGCGGGCGGCCCAAAGTACTACCAGTAGTGCCTAGGAACGTGCAGCCGGCGGAGGAGTTGCTTAGATGGCTTGGACAGGTGCTGCGATTGCTGGTGCGGATGCGGATGACTCTGCTGGTGGCTGGTGACGATGATGAAATGGGGCGCTGCCTCGTGTGACGAATTGTCGACTTGTTATCCAGGCAACAATGCAGGGAGACACAGGGCCTCGGCCCTCGGGCCAAATGGTTCATTTTCAAAACTGCAAAAGAAAAGAAAGAAATAGCAATAAATATTCGATTCGTCCGATTAGGTACAATATGCAATCTGGCAGATATACGGTTAAAGCTAAAATGAAAAGTACTGCCCCACTTGATCGAGTGCTCTGGCGAGATTAGAGCCTTTCGCCTTGTCGCTCTTTCAAGTGCTCAATTCAATTGCCCCTTATCGGCGGCGATCGCCAATCAACGTGTTTGAGGTTAACTATAAAGCATGGGCGACTGTGATTTACATGCACTGGACTGGGATCATAATATATAAGTATATACCTATATAGATGGTGAGGGGAGGGAGCGATGGCGGGCCCCTTAACGACCTGGTAATTAAGGCACTTTTGCACAATTTACTGATACTGATAACGACGCAACTGGTATACGAGTAATACCACTTCCATACTCCCACCGATCTCAAGTGCCACCGAATATGGAGTATATGATTTAAACATGTGCGCGAGCACACACAGTAGCTGTTGACGTTCCGATTTGCGATTAGATAACGTCAGCGGGCCAAGTCTCTGGGAGTTTTCTATGAGAGTTTCTACACGTCTTTGCCACCCCGAAATCGTTGACGTCATTGTTGTCAGCTCAGCTCACTACTTAGCACTTTTTTTATTTGAATGCAAATGAACAATAATGCCAGAACAAATGTCAAGCACAGTTGTCGGTTATTAGGCTTAGGTTTATGGTTTTGAGAGCTAAGTGAGCTAATGGTCGCTATAACCGAGAACATTATAAGTAGGTAGAAACCAATGATATCATTTTCGAGAGATCTAGATAATGTTTCTAACTTTAATGCCTAAATTATAACTAATTTTTACCTCTAGTTCTCATATATTAAATATTTTCTATTTTTAGTTGATTGGTTTGTTAAAAATATTCCCATATCATAGACCATATAAATAGCTTTAAAAGGTAAATCACAAATATTATGATACTATTTTTCCCCTTTAGTCGACAGTTTTTGTGCCCTCCTTTGTCAATTAATTTGATTGATTGGTTTGCATGAATCTCTGTTGATTCATTCATTTTTTCTTTCAGCTTCGTACGACTTTAAAGCAACACCAACAATTAAATTTGCATGTGCTTAACATTTTATGATAATTAAGTGGCACAGACAGCAAAACACGCTTTTTCTGTGTGGGCCGACGATGGATTTTTTGTTGTTGCTTGTGTCACCCGAGTTATGTTCGCATTTTCATACTGAATACTGAATGCTGAAACTTAATTAATTGAGTTGTTGACTGCGCCCGGTTCGACAATAAAAGCTGCCCACACATTGCGTATTTTTACAGCCGCATTTAATCTCATCCAAATGCGAGCTTTTAAGCCGAGACAAGAGCATTTCAGTTCCCATGGCAATCATCTTTTATTCACCGCCGAGCTGAGCCCCTTCACTCGGACACCATTTAATCCGCTATTACGCACTCCACACTCTCCTGGCCATGTGGGTGGCAATGCGAGTGAGTGTGGCATGTGGCATTAACGTGCCAACAAGGGGTTAAACCCCGAAAAAGAGGAAAAAAAACACCCATCCATTGCGAGGCTGCTTTTCACAGACGCCGCCGACAAACACGAAGATTGAAACACACCATAATTTAGACAAATCAATAAATTACTAATAGCCCCCGCCGCCGCTACTTCGCTCCTTCGGCGATCGACATTCCACCGAATTCGACCGAGGTCCCCAAGTCTTACGGAAGGCAGGGAAAAAGGTGAGCAGCAGTTGGCCAGGTAGAAACTGGCCGGCTGAATTCACAAAGACAGCGCCGGTCATCGTTCAAGTCGTGTTTTAAATTGGGTTTGTGGCCAAGCTCCGAGATACCATAATACTCCCCTCTGTTCGATGTGCAGGAAGGGAAAAGATAGCAGAGAATGGCAGAGGGGAACTGACAGCGTCTTCTTGTTATGGCCAAAGTCCCTGTCCGCACGTACTAAACATCAGGCAGAGAGTACCCAACCCAAACGGCGAACAGCGACCAGAAAACAGCAGACAGTGTTGGTTCCGAAATAGCTAGTTTTGTATGACAAATGTATAGAATATATAGTGGTCACCTGGTCGAATCTCCTGAAAAAATCTTCTTTTAAAGTATAATCTCTCGTTTAAAACTATTCTTAAAATGATATATTTAAAACTATTAGACTTTTTTGAAACAAAAAGCTAGCTCAAATAAAAAATAGCTAGACCACTCAACGCCAGCAGACTTTAAAGCAGCGGGAGAACATGAAATCGCCAAGATGATGAAGAAGCCGAAGAAACCGATGAAGAACAAGGGCTGTAGAGCTAAAGATTTACGGCAACATCGTCGGAAACATCGGCCGCCGTTCAGATCGTTCGAAATCGCTTGGCTTCATCGCCATCGTCGTCGTCATCATCATCTTTGTTTTTCATTATTTTTTTTTGGTTTCACGAGATGGTTGTTGTTGTACAAGATTGATCCTCGGCGGTTGCTAAATGAACGCCTCCGGGGAGTTGCCAGTGCGCTTTTATTAGCGTTTTTGATCCAGAATGGATCGTAACCACAGCAGCCAAACAAGCAGAGTCGAGGAGAACGGGTAAAGGTCCACAGCAGACTCACACGCAGATACTATTGCGGTCAATCAAATAGTGTTGTTACACCGATTTATAAAAAACTATATATTAACTAAATGTTTACTAAGCATAACTAGAAAGTCTTAACATTGATACATCCGAAATGGTTGATAATGTACAAACGTTTGTATTTTTATAGGGCCTCTCGTAATCCCTTTTTTATAATATAAAAACTTAAAGAAAATTTCTTTTCAATATCCTTACAAAAGTTCGATGATCTCAGCAATGGACTAATAAAGGTGATATATATTTCCAACTCAATGGACTAATCCCTTTATCTTTTCTTTATCTTTTGGGAAGTATGGTATAAATTAAAGTCCAGAAAGTATTGAACAACATTGAAACATTCTAATATTTTGAACTCTGTTGTTCAAGCACAATATACAAAAAAATTCAGACAGAAATTGCGTTTCGCTAATAATTCTTGGGTCTTGTTTCTGTTTTGATTCGGCTCGAATCGCGATAATTTGATTTTCCCCAAGCGCAACTCATGCGATTGCGTTGGTGGCGGCTGTTTAGTCTCAACGCGCTTGAGGCGGCGGCGGCGGCGGCTCGGCGTTCAATTAAATTAAGTGCAGCGGGTTCCCTTATCGTTTTTTATTATTTTTTATTTTCCTTGTGGCACGCCACACCACCGCAGAACGAGATGTTCTCAAGTGCCGGCCAACTCAAGTGGCGATCATGCCACTTAGGCAACGTTCTGAAAACGAGCCTTGGATGGGAACTACTTAAAGAGGAAGGGAAAGGGAAAGGGGACAAGATCTCGGGCTCGGGGAAGTAGACACATTCAATTGCTTTTCCAATATATTGATCACTCGAGAAAAATGTGTATGCGTGTGTTTGTTTGCGCCCCTTTTCCGTCCATTGATAGGGCATAGGAATTTATGACTTCATTCCCCCAACAGATCTTTTGTTCGTGTCACCAGCAATTTGCTGTCCTCAATTACGAGAGTTCTCCTTTGTGGACCCCGAATCTAATGAGTTGCACAGAAGAAGTAGGGATGGCTCGGCCTCAGATTCTGGTGTTTATTATTCCCCGATTGTCGTCAAGGGAATCCAGCATTATCGATCCATTGAGGGTTTGGTTTTGATTGTAATCCCTTAAGTAATTTATATCGCAGGGGTAGGAACTTAAGAAATAGGTTATGCCTTATTTTTAAAAACTTTCCAAGTATAAAATAAAAAAAAAATTTGCATAAAACTTCAAATAACTCATTAGATAAAAATATTTTAAAATATATCTATGATTTTTATTCATTGCTTAGGGCTAGTACTCAACCCAACAAAAAGTCGTCGAAAACAAAAACTTCATATGAAACAAAATTTTTTGACGTTGTTATACCCTTGTAGAGGGTATTATAATTTCAGTCAGATGTTTGCAACGCAGTGAAGGAGACGTTTCCGACCACTTAAAGTATATATATTCTTGATCAGCACCAATAGCCGAGTCTATCTAGCCATGTCCGTCTGTCCGTCTGTCCGTCTGTCCGTTTCTATGCGAACTAGTCTCTCAGTTTTAAAGCTATCGCGATGAAACTTTCCCGAAGGTCTTCTTTCTATTGCAGGTAGTACATATGTCGGAGCCAGCCGGATCGGACCACTATATCTTAAGGCTCCCAAACAAATATAAGAAAATTCATTGTAACTTTGTAGGAAGTAGGCGTTTTGATTCTTGACTACTTAAAAACAAAATTGAAATAAATCGAAACGCTGAATCTGGAATCCCTGGAACTGCACCGAGTGAGTATTCTTTTATCTACAAGGGTATATAAGCTTCGGCTGGCCGAAGGTAGCTTCCTTTCTTGTTTTTCATATGAAGTTTTTTGTTTTGGACGACTTTTTGTTGGGTTGAGTACTAAGCCTTAAAAGAATAAAATATATAAAAAAAAAGTTATTTGGTCGATTATTGGGTCATTGGTCACCTGAATTGAAATTGAAATTCAAGGTCAAAATAGATAAGACAAATTACAAACTGTGACACAAGAATTGCGTGATTTAGGCGATCAGCGATTATTTTATAATCTGATAATGAGACAACAAGCCGAAAACATTTGAACTTCCGTAATGTCATGAATTTGTTGCTATATAAATCGAATAGTTAGTTCAACGTAGTTACTATTTGGCCAAGATGCTACCACGTTTGTTGCTGCCGATTATTGGAAGACTATGGTTGATAGTTTTAATAGTGCACCACTGCAATGGCAAGGTAAGAAAATAATTTTTACTTGAAGGAGAGTATGATAATATTACTTGAATCAACAGCGAAAGTGGGACTACGAGCCGTTGTCTATTGTAACCTACACTTCAGATGAAAACTTGCTAAAGATTAGCGCAAAAGTCGATCGAATCGGTCGTGGGGAATACGGTATTTCGGCGAATATCGACTTCAAATACGATCCAGACGATACTACGATGGTAAGTATTGATGTTTTGGCATCTATTACTGGATTGTTAAAAAAAAAAAACTATCATAATCCAACTAATATCGTTAAATTTTATGTTCGACTTTTAGGTTGAGGCAGTGGCCTTTCGAAGCAGCTCGGGAGAGGAAAGCGACTATAAGCCTATTCCCTTAGCGATTCCGAAACAACCCTATATCGAATTTATGAACAGTAATTATAAGGACGTGGTAATTCCCAACCTGGGCGGATGCTCTAATCTTGTCACATTTGAGGACAAATTCGAGCCACCGTGGCCTCAAAAGACTTACGAGCTGGACAAGTGCGTGGCCAACAGCGATGGCTTTCCGGACATCGTTCCCGAGGGCTACTACAAGGTCAACTTCACCATGACGAGTCCCGTAGATTGGGGGTTCATTCTCATCGTGAAGATCTCAACTAAACTAATGTGATCTCCACTTTGATCGATCATATTTCTATTAAATATCAAATATATAATGTATATGTTGTATAGTGTGTAGAAAGTTACTTTGCTTTCATTTGCAATAAAATCAGCTTCAAAGACATATATAATCTGTTTCATTCGTCAATTATAAACGCGAGCTTGTTAGTTTTACAAACATGGATGTTTAACATCAATCGGAATTGGTTTCCTTTGTAGCATTTCTAAAATGTAATCTCAAACAATTTCATTGTGTATAAAATTTAAACATGATAAGTCCGTGAGATAAACTTTTTTTGATTATACGTTCTGGCTATATAAGAGAACTTGCCTTCATAAAATGTATCAAATCCAATCCGAGTGAAATGATTACCTCCAATCTGCTTTCGAGTAGAATCGGAATTCTGCTTTTGTGCTTACAGTTGGCAAGGGCAGCAGTAAGATTGGTAATATAAATATGATTGATATTTACTAAATTTATTGTCTTTAGCGAAAATGGGACTACGAACCAATATCGATGAGCACGACCTCTTCGGATGAAAGTAAGCTAAAGTTTGACATGAAAATCGATCGTCTGGGGCGTGCAGACTGGGGAATGTCGGCCACCTTAGAGTGGAAATATGAAACGAATGAAGAAACTATGGTAGGTACCTAAAAAAAATCATAGTTATACCCTGGATTTCTCCATCTTTCATTTTAGGTTGAGGCCTCTGCTTATCGTAGCAGTTCGGGCGATGAGAGTGACTACAAGCTGCTTCCTTGGGCGATTCCCAAGCAGAAATTCTATGATTACATTGATACCTACTACAAGGATGTGATCATCAAAAATTTGGGCCACTGTTCCAATCTTCCGAAATATGAGGGAAAATTTCAACCTCCTTGGCCGCAGAATACCTACAAGCTCGACAAGTGTAAGATCGATGGTGATGGACTACCGGATATCGCTCCGCCCGGTTTCTACAAGATCATATTCACTAAATCTGGACCAGGCCAGCCCACATGGGGCTTTACGGCGGTATTCAAGCTGACAAACAAATTGTTTTAGATTGTTCAATATTCGAGGATCGAGAAGATCCAATATATATTTTTTTAATATCCATAATAAATTGAATGTCTAACAAAAATATTTATTTTTTGTCTTGTAAAACAATGCTAGGTCCTTAAAATTGGTAAAAAATTAATCTAGGGTAAGGAGGAGGTTTCACTAAAACAACAATAGTAAAACTAAAATGGTTCAAAAATCAAGTACTACTTGAATTACCTATAGAGTTTTTTATATTTAATTTTGTGGAATATGATTTTTTGGATTAGATTATACTAACATGAGCTTCAAATGACCATGAGAAAAACCAATGTAAATCAAGCTTACATAACCTGATAATAATGTCGAGCAACATTTTACGTAATTAATCAGTGGCTGTCGCCTTTATAAGGCGGGACATGACCGTACCCATTTTAATGTGGTCCAAATGGTTTCCCGCTACTCGTTCGTTTACATTTTATTGGGCGTCCTCCTGATCAGTGGAATCAGAGCTGCGGTAAGATCCTTATTTATATCCTATAATCATATTTATAATATTCGTTGGCAGCGCAAATGGGACTACGAACCCATTTCGATCACCGCCATCACTTCGGACGAGAGCTTAATCAATTTTGACATCAATATCGTTCGCATAAGTCGCGGAGAATTCCGGAATATCAGCCAAAGTCGAGTGGAACTACGATACGACAGACGAAACCATGGTGGGTCAAATCCTTATTAAGAAAATCAGTTAGAAAAACTTCAATCTTTTTCAGGTGGAGGCCGTTGTATACCGAAGCACTTCGGGAGATGAGAATGACTACAAGGTGCTTCCTTATTCCATTCCCAAGCAATCCTTTTACGAATATCTCAATACCTACTATAAGGATGTGATAATGAAGAACTTTGCCCCCTGCTCCAATATTCCAATATTCGAGGACAAATTCGAACCACCATGGCCGAAGAAGACTTACAACGCTGAAAAATGCGTTATTGATGGCGATGGATTGCCGGAAATCGTACCGCCCGGATTCTATAAAATTATATTTAGTGCCAGCGGACCAGAGCAGCCTTCATGGAGCTTTACTGCTATTATTAAATTAACAAACAAAATGTTTTGAAAAAAAAATACAAGTAGAAAGTTAATAATGTCAATAATCAATTAAATATCTAATAAAAACATTTAATGTTTGGCTTGAGCAAAAATCCTTTTAAAATATTTGTTTTAAAATTCTGAACAATGTATGCTTGCGTATTTATACATTCCACTTTTAACAAGGTTTAAGAATTTATATTATGGGTTTCAATTATTATATTATTTACACGTGACATTCAGATGACCATGACCATGAGCAATGGAACTCAAGATTACAAAGTCTGATAATAATGTCGTGCAACATTACACGTGACTGTCGCCTTTATAAGGCGGGACATAAACGTACCCAGTTTAATATGCTCAAAATGGGTTTCCGCTTCTCGTTCGTTTTAATTTGGCTTGTTGTCCTGCTGATCAATGGAATCAGAGCTGCGGTAAGTTCCTTATTTATACCCAAAAATCATATTAATAATATTAGCTTCCAGCGGAAATGGGACTACGAACCCTTATCAATCACCTCCACCACTTCGGATGAAAGTTTAATATTGTTTAAAATGAAAATCGTTCGCATAAGACGCGGAGAATACGGAATTTCAGCCAATGTCAAGTGGAACTTCGATACTACTAACGAAACCATGGTGGGTCCGATCCTATTTAAGGCTATCCTTTATAAAAACCCGAATCTTTTTAGATAGAGGCATCAGCCTACCGAAGCATTTCGGGAGAGGATAATGACTACAAGGTGCTCCCTTGGTCCCTCCCCAAGCAACCCTTCTACCAATATCTCAATACCTACTATAAGGATGTGATAATGAAGAACTTTGCCCACTGCACCAATATTCCAGTATTCAAGGACAAATTCGAGCCACCGTGGCCAAAGAAGACTTACATCGGTGATAAATGCGTTATTGATGGCGATGGATTGCCGGAAATTGCACCGCCGGGGTACTATAAAATTGTATTTGCGGGTAGCGGACCAGACCAGCCGTCATGGAGCTTTGCTGCTGTTGTTAAACTAACAATCAGAATATTTTAAAAAAACATATATTTTTTAAAGATGTGATTATAGTACTGAAACTGAATAATGTGAAAAATAAATTCAAGGTAAAAAAAAAATTTTATGGCTTGGCTTTCTACCTAAAATTTGTGAAAATCGATGCTACTAATCATGGCATTACAAAGTGATTTACTAGATATCAACTACTTTAATTTCTTTATAATTATATACCTATGATCTTCAGTTGACCATGACAATGAAATAAAACAAATGTAAAACAAGTTTACATAGCCTGATAATAATGTCGTGCAACAGTTTAAATTATTAATTAGTTGCTGTGGTCTTTAAAAGGCGGACCATGACCGTACACAGTTTATTATTGTCCAAATGTATTCCCGCTACTCGTTCGTTTTAATTTTGTTGGGTGTCATTCTGATCAATGGAATCAGAGCAGCGGTAAGTTCCATTTTCATACCCCTATATCATTTTAATAAAACTTGTTTGCAGCGCAAATGGGACTACGAACCCATATCGATCACTGCCTTCACTTCGGATGAGAGCCTAATCAGTTTTAACATAAGTCTCGTTCGCATAGGTCGCGGAGAATACGGAGCTTCAGCCATTGTCGAGTGGAACTACGATACCACTGAGGAAACCATGGTGGGTCTAAACCAAATCAAGTAAATCCTGTACAGAAAAGGCAATCATTTTCAGGTGGAAGGCGTTGTCTACCGAAGCTCTTCGGGAGCTGAGAGCGACTACAGGGTGCTTCCTTATTCCATCCCCAAGCAATCCTTTTACGAGTATCTAAATACCTACTACAAGGATGTGGTAATGAAGAACTTGGCCCACTGCTCTAATATACCAATATTTGAGGACAAATTCCAACCGCCATGGCCAAAGAAAACTTACATCGGTGATAAATGCGTTGTTGATGGCGATGGGTTGCCGGAAATTGTACCGCCTGGGATGTATAAAATTGTCTGTAATTGCACCGGACCAGACCAGCCCACATGGGGCTTAACTATTATTTTTAAACTAACAAACAGAATATTTTGAAAAAGCAATAGACAAGACACATTGGTTAATAAACAATTGGATTTTGTGAACAATTTAATATTTGTCAGAACTGCAATAAATTATCAAAGAAGTACCCACTTTTGCTTATAGTCAATGGCGAAAACTGAACATTGAACATTTTTATATGAGTTGTTTTTAAAAAAATACTTTTCTTTTGAGTTTTCTTTCTTTCTTTTAAGTAAATTTCTGGACGTTGATTTCACCCAAAATACAGTTATATTAAAAAGAGAAAAAATTCTCTCAGTAAACCAATAAAATATACGGAGTTGCCACAAAAACAGGGCAACGCTGAAATGGACGGATTTATATTGATGCCTATAATAAACTATCCCCCGATAATTTTACTTGAATTTTTTAAACGGATTTGTTTTTTTTTTGTATGTTTTTTAATGAATTAGATTTTTTGTATATAAGATAAGGTACATTAGACTTTAGTTGTCGGATAAAAATGTCGTGCAAAATTGCAGAGCATTATGCAATCGTTGTGGCTATATAAACATAAGGCGAGACCTGTCAGTAGTCAATTCAGAATTGGTCAAATGGTTTTCAGGTGTTCACTTGCTGGTATTTGGTTGGCAGTCCTGATCCTTAGAGGCTGTGGGGCAGCGGTAAGTCAAGGATCCCGGAAATAAATTCCCTGTACAAATGTTTAAAAATTTTCAGCGCAAGTGGGACTATGAGCCCATCTCGATAGCCACCTACAGCTCAGATGACAGCTTAATTAAACTCGATGTGAAAATTGAGCGCGTTGCACGCGGTGTGTATGGAGTTACCGGCAGGATCAATTGGAACTACGATACGAGTGACAAGACCATGGTATGACCTATTCAAATTACAGTAATCCAAGGTAAAAGGATGGTCCCCTTTCTTTAGGTCGAGGCAACTGTGTCTCGAAGCGATTCGGGGGATGAGAGCGACTACAAGCTGCTTCCTTGGGCAATTCCCCCGCAATCCCTTTACGACCACATGAACACTTATTACAAGGATGTGTCGATGAAGAACTTTAAGCACTGTTCCAATGTTCCCCAATTCGTGGGAAAATTCCAACCGCCATTGCCGAAGATGATTTACAGCGGCGACAAATGCGTAATAGATGGAGACGGGTTACCCGATATCATGCCTCCCGGATTCTACAAGGTCATATTGAAATGCTCCGGACCGGGTCAGCCTACATGGAACTCTACTTCTATTTTTAAAATTACAACAAAAATGTTTTAAAATTCGCAATCATTTATAAAAGGTGTTTTTTTATATATATTCTTTAAATTATATATTTTTTAAAGTAAAATAAAATCGATTTTGAGATCTAAGTACCCACATGTTTTTAAATTAAATAAAATCTACATAATAATAGTTAACGATGTTCAGAGCTCCACAACATATTTAAGAACGTTTTTCTACTCGAGCGGTGAAATGGCTGCTTTTTAAAGCAATAAATCATTTTTGCAATATTAATATTTTTAATTAAGCTGAAGCTTAATATAATTTACGAAACTCATGATGTATAATTTTTTGTGTGCATGTTTTTGGCATGTGGCCTTGTTTAACATGTTTACCAAAAATGTTACAGGGCTTATATAATTTATACAATTTCCCTGACGTAACAACGCCATGCAACCAACTGTTTTTTGCTATATAAATTCTGCCCGTTTGAGAATCGAATTAGGTTTAATTTTAGCCAAATGATGTCGCGTTGCTCGTTGCTGTTTTCATTCGGTGCGCTCCTGATCCACAGCACAATGGCAGGAGTAAGTCAGGATTTCATACCAGGATTTCTAATTCCTGTTTAAACTTTACAGCGCAACTGGGACTACGAACCCTTATCCCTGACATCCTATAGCTCCGATGAGAAGCTTTTAAAGATTACCACCAAAGTTGATCGACTGGGTCGCAGTGAGTATGCATTTTCCATGACGCTGGATTGGAACTATGATGTGGATAAGGACACCATGGTGAGAACTAAGGCTACAATTATCTATCCTTACTAAAAAATAATTATTTTTTACTCGGCAGGTGGAGGCGGACGTTTACCACTGCTCATCAGGCGATGAAGAAGATTATAAAATAATGCCCTGGTCTATTCCCCAGCAGCCCTTTTTCGAATACCTGAACGGCTTCTATAAGGACGCATTTATCAAGAATGTGGGCCACTGTTCCAATATGGTCCAATTCGAAGGTGATTTTGTTCCTCCGTGGCCCCGAAATGTTTATAAACTGGATAAGTGTGTAGCCAATGGCGAGGGACTACCAGACATCGCACCAGAGGGTTATTTCAAATTAGTTTATAAAATGACCGGGCAGGTCGAATGGGGGTTTACCTTGATTGTTAAGGTCCAACATAGTGTTATTTAAAATTGATTTTAGAGTCCAAAGAAATCCCTCCAAACTTGTTAATACTTTGATTTAAATCTTTTTTTTTATTGCAATGCAATGTACCATAAATTATATAAATTAAAATTAAATTCTATTGGTTTGTTTTAACAAATGTTTTTTTTTATATTTTTTTTACTTTTTGTACTGCAAATTTTGACTAATGTAAAAATAAATATATAAGACTAAGATATATCTTTGGGTTGTATTGTGAACATTACAAGATCTATTAAAGCAGTTTAGTCCATGCAAACATGGAAAACCATGTACTTGGGTTCTTTATCTAATTGGTTGTCAATCCCGTGTAGATCAGAAAATTCAGATAAGTTTGGCATGATGTACCCTACTTTAAATTGCATTAATGTTTACAACAATGTAAAAACGTAAACAAATGTACACAAAGTTTCCGTGCCAATAATTTGTTTTTTGGAAGACTAATCCGAATGGACCGACTATATAAGCAAGAAGGGCTTGATTTAAAGAGTAATTGAAGCCAAAATGTTTTCAATGAACGTTTGTTTATTTTTGTGCCTTTTTGTGTGCCTTTATGATAAAAGTGCAGCCAGGGTAAGTTTGAAAAATTGTTGGATTAATTTTAAAATCCTTAAATTTAAAAATTATTAAAACAAACGTTTTGGTTTGGGCATATTAAATTTATTTATAAATATTTATGATATTTCTATATTTTTTAACAGACCAATTGGGAGGCCACGCCCTTATCGATAGGAGGAACATCGACAAATCCGAGTGCGATGGACATCAATTTGCGACTTGAGCGCATTTCGAGGTCAGAATTTGGCTTTTCAGGCACATTCTTCTGGGGCATTGATATGGACGACAACGTGATGGTGAATTGTTAACTGAAATAATTTATTAAAAGTCCTACTTGATGAGAAATTTATATTCCAGGTCGAGATGCGCATTTTGAACAGTTATTCCGGCGACGAAGCTGACTACAAACTGACTCCCTATTCCATTCAGCCGCAGAAATTCACCGACTATATCGACACCTTCTACAAGGACATGCTGATCCCTAACCTCGGCAATTGCACCGATATGCCGAGGTACGAGTCCGGCTATGTACCGCCCTGGCCCAAGGCGACCTTCAATTTCAATCGCTGCAGCCTCAACGGCAAGGGACTGCCGGATATTTTAGCCGAGGGCTTCTATAGAGGCGAGGCCATCATCACCGCCCTGCCAACTGTTGCAGTTAACATCTCGGCCACTCTTCGGATCAAAACAAAATATTTCTAAAATCCGGACAATTAAATCGCACCATTCCTCCCTGTCTAATGCCAACTGTTTTTGCTTTTGGGCATTCCCAAGGTGGTGTGAGCCGAATTCCAGCTGCGACGAGATCGTCATAAAGTCCGCCGGACTCACGGGCCAATAAATGAACCGGGCCAGGTAGAAATCGCTTAAAGCCAGCTGACGTCGGCAGGCAGGCAGTTCGAGTGTGAAATTGGCAAGACATGTTTGGAAACTGTTGTGGTAGGAAAAAAAGTGTTTGTGGTGGGGTTGTCAGAGGGGAAATGCCAAGGAAAAATTGCACAAAGTGTCGCCGGCACAGAGAGAAATATATCGCAAAATCAGATAACTAATTTAGTTTGGAAAAATATCAGAGCAATGGCATTAAACATAATAGTTTAACTGCATTCAATATAAAATAAGTGAACAATATATATATCTCTTGGTTTAGTTTAAAATCGAACTACAAAGCAATGAAAGTCTCTCTACTTTTTCCTGTGTACTTTCCCCTCGTTTTCCCCCCTCTTGAAAATGCAATTCGAGTTGCATTTCAAGTGAAAACTCTGCACAGTTGCCTCGGCTAATTTATTGCAAATTGTTAAAAGCTACAACGACGAAGGCGACGCTGCTGCTGGCTGTCAACTGATGACAGCGGCATGCTGCTCCTCCTCTTTCCCGCTAAAAAAAAACCCCCCTGCTGCACCCTAAGCTTGTGGCCGCTGCTGTGTTTTCCCCATTTTCAGGCTGCTCCCCTTGTTGGCTTCGGGGGAAAAATTCAGTTTAGAGTGAGCCACATTCGCATGGAAATCGTTGGCAATTTTACAGTAACGCAATAAAGTCAGAGATCTTTGAAGAGCTTTATTTAAAGTGTATAGGCACATTGAAGAGCTGAATCTATTCGGGTTTTAAAAGTATTTAATACGCTTAGTGATTCCACTCTAAAAGGCAGTCTGGTTTTATTTTAAAAGCGTCAATTAATTGGTTTAAGTAAATTAAAATTTTCACTGGAAAATAGTCTTTACTAGTTAGATAAAAAATAGACATTTTTAAAACACAAATTGTTAGGTTATAAAATCTAGTTAATTTATTTTTATTAATTACGCCAATAAAATATATCAATATACGGTTTCTAATGCTTGAATTTTGTGTAAAAATGGTAATTTTGCATTACATACGAGATGGCGATCTACAACGTTTTTAAAAGCCAATTAATTGGTTACAACGAAACGCGGCTCACCCTGATTAGCATACGGGCAACAGAAAACAACAACGGCAACCGATTTGCATTTAGCCACCATCCATCTAAATCACACAGCACACAGCTCTTGCCCCCTTTGCCCCACGAATCCCGCGAATCAGTCCCATCAGTTTCGCGGCTTGAACATTTTGCGGCATTGACAATATCAAATTGTTATCTGGCATAAAATAATTACAACGTTTTAATGCAGACAAAATAGTTGTCGTCGGTTCGACGGTTGCAAGTTGCTGTGGTTTTCTGTTTCTGTTGATGTTGTTGATATCATCGATGTTGTTGTTGTTTGCTGGTTGCCTGCTGCTTTGGCTGCCAAAGTATAGCTGCCAATTTGAGTGCCAATAAAAGCGCGTGTGCGACAGCAAAGAGATTTCATTTTCAGCGGACAACGTTGTCATGGTTAGTTTTTAGCTGCTGGTGCGCTAATTAACCAAAAACGCAGCCAATTAGTTGGACTAACACGGAAAAGTTGCAGTTCCACGGAAAAGTTGCAGTTCCACGGAAAACCCAGGGGAGTGCCTGGTGCACAGCGAGAAAATAGGTCATGAAAATCACTTTCTCTTGTTCGTTATTATTAATCTTTATCAACGAAGCTACACGCTGGACAAGGATAAAATAAGTTTCATTGGGAAAAGTATGTTTTAATAGTTAACCACAAAATTGTATTGAAACTAGAGATTGAAAATAATCGATAGTTTCGATATTTTCACAATAGCGATTCGATAATATCTATCATTTCACGAGAAACACTATTAAATATTTCATCTAAAATCATTTTGAGAACATTGTAATTTAGTTCCAATTTAATAGGTTATTTAAGAAAGAAAATATAATACAATAATAATTTTAAAATATACTACACATTTATAGAATATTTTTTGCAAGTGTCAAGCACTCAATTGCCGGACTTGTTTTCATATGTGTTTGGGGATTTTGATTGCGCGATTTCACTAGATAATGCTAGGGACACTAGTTCAGTGAATCAACATTGCGAGCTAATTATTTCGATTGCCATGGATATTGTTGACAATTTAAAACCCTGTTTATTATTTGTAATGTTTTAAACAAGCTGGTGGCAAGTACTTAATATATATCATGAAATTGCTCGCAAATATTTCCAAATAACCGGAATAATTATTTCAACCGTTTTTTTTAATAACCTTCTTTATTATTATAGCTTTTTAACGAGACCACTTAAATAATAAAATCCAAATGGAACTTGTTTCAGATATCCCCTTGATTAAGAGATAAACTCTTAAAATACATTGATCCAATTTGATTCGATTATGCTGAATAGTTTAAGAACTAGACTAGTTTATGACCAGCATTATAGCTTTTAAACTAATTAAACTGCCAGATCTCCTCCAACTTGCCCATATAAAATTCGTCTGCAATTTCCAATGCTCATTGATTGAAAATTTGCGAAATGAAATGCATTAGACTGAGGCAGGCAAAGGTTAAATTATGTCTGCATTCGCAGAGATGCGGCTACAATAAACAAACAAGAAAGGGGCGAAAAGGGGGGATAGTCAGTCAGAATGCAAAGCTTGTTAAAATTCATGTAATGCATTAACAGAGAACAACAACCACAAATTACACACACACACAAAGGGGGCAAAAGGGGCAAGAGGGGCCAAAAAGGGGGCTGGATCTACTGAGTCAAAAGGCCGACGGGCCGCAATGAAAAGGCAATTAAAGCGCAGAGGCTGAGGGGGGAGAGGTTCCCCAGGGGGCTGAAGAGGGGCGGTCGAAACAGAGGAAGGGGATAATACTGCTGCTGCTGTTGCCGTTGCAGCAATCAATTGCATGCTTCAATGGACAAATATACGAGCATAGACAAGTGGAGAGCCAGCTCAGATAGACATGGCCGATACGGACGCCAAAGCAAATGCGTTCGCTCAACTACAGTGAAGCGTGCTTACGGCAAACCGTCATCTCTTTATTAACGTTCGCCCCTTAAATTTAAAGGAAGCTTTAAACTGAGATATCCCATAAGATTTCGAGGATTAACCCATCTTTAAATTTAACAAAGGGACGAGAAAACAACCCTGAGATGTAAAGTTTAATCCAAAAGATTTAATTTTCTAAAATAAAAAATTTTTTTTTTTTTAATTTAAGTTCATTTCTTTTTTTAATATAAGTGACTTTTTGCTCATTAATATTTTATTCAGTCATTATCTACGATTTCGCACAAGATTTCTTTAAATTTCAACTATCAAACTTTTTGTTCATATCGAGATCCTACTGTATCTGCGTCTGTTCATTTGTATGTTTGCAGCCACAACTGCGAGCGTGTGTATCTATGAGTTGTCCACGGCAGACACCCGTGGGACGGACGGAAAAACGACTAGATGGACTCAACTAGATAAAAACCTTAGTTGGCTTGGTGCCCGGGCCAAAATGAGGATTACAAGTGGGTCTGAAGAGAGGGGCTTTGGATCTGGCTTTGAGTTGGGCTGGGTTCGGTTTGGTTGTTCGCCGTTCGGTGTTCGATGCTCGGTGCTCCAACCGTCTGCATCTTCATTCGCCTCCTTCGACGGCGGCAGTCAAGTGGAACGGCACAAAAACTTGTTAACTTTTTTCGCTACAAAAGGTCCGAGGAGAGTGCCAAGTTGAGTCAATCAACTGGCAACCTGCTCCCCAGCTCCTCGCTCCCTTCTCCACCTCTCTACTATCTGTGCTCACTTGGCAGCAATTAATCAAATGGGGAGACCCCGAATCCAACTCACAGCCTCTGGCTTTATTATTGCAATCAAGTCATTTTACCTGCAAAACGCTTAATTATCACTTTTTGGGGCGGCAATTAGCAATTAGCAGACAAATTCTTCACATGCCACGCCTACTTTCGCTTCTTCAGAGGCTCTCGTCCAAAGCCATATTTCTCGCCATACAATGGACTGATCCCGGCCAGCAGTTGGTGGGCCGACTCATAGATGGTGTCACAATTGGCCACCTCATCGGCCACAAGGTCAAAGTCATAGGCCACGATCCGATAGCCAGCTCGACTGAGTTCCACACAATAGATGACCTGCTCCAAGGTGCGAATATTGATGTAGGCCACCCAACGGCAGTGGGGCAGGAATTCGGCCACGATCAAGTGGTCAGCAAAGTCCTGGCAAGAATCGACCATTCTTTCGGCCTCGCGGAGGGCGTGAAAGTCGATTTCGTCACTCTGGACGAGCGCCATTTTGGGAGACTACTACATATATTTGAATTTAGACAGAAAAAGCTAAGGATCTATTTATTAATTTAAAAGAAAACTTTAGCAATAGTATAATCCAGGGACCGTAATAATCATTTTTGAGATTTTTATTTTAAAAGGCCTACTGGTTTTTTTTTATTTTTGGTTTTTTGTACTTTATAGACATGAACAAATAACTGATAATTTGCTTCCCAATTGAAATGCATTTACTTTGTGGACAAGAGTAAAAAGAAGTTATTTTTGAGTTTAAAACGTTAAACTCACAGTAGTCTTTTAAAATAATCTCACCCAATGAGTATTTACGGTCCATGGTATAATCAAGTCCTCAAACAATTCCATTCCCATACTACTAAGCTGAAGGGTATTAAGAGTTCGAATACAGCGATTTACCCATCTCGTTTTCAAGACATTTTTCCGTATTATGCATCCGCTTAAATTCTCGTGCGGCTCCTCTGAAACCCTTTACCCCTCTCCCGATCCATCACCCTATCTCCCTTGACTTCCTCAACTCAGAAACCAAGCTCAAGTGCTCCGGGTCCTCGGGGTCTTAGTCTCCTGATGCGGCTGCCTGCTGCCGCTGGAAAACAAAAAGGACAAAAGCAAAGAGTCTCGGGCTGAGACTCATGACAATCGAATAAGGAATAAGGAGAGGGGAGGCATATAGGGGATAAGGGGTAGCCTGACTTGGTGTGATTTGATCCACAGAGAAAAATGTTAAACTTTTTCGATTATACATCTCTTATATTAATATTATTTTTCACTATTTCCCTAGTTTTTTGGCAATACAGACAAGAATATATTCAAATCTGAAGTTCAAACTAGCTAAGATATTTATCATTCGTGTAATAACATTAAAATCATTTCATTTTTTCCCAGTACACATCCACAATCCACAGCAGCAGCATCTTTTCCCTTACTTTTTGCTGATGAAGTTGAACAATTTGAGATACGAGCTGAGAAGGAAGGTAAGGCGAACAGAAAGAGACGGTAAAAAAAAAGAAAGAGATGGGTTAGCCGGTGGACGGAATGGACTGAAAGGGACGGACTACGGACTGCGGACAACGGACTGAAGACTGAGGACTGAAAGACCAAAGACTGTGGAACGTTCATTTAGTTGCCCATGGCCATGGCAGGCAAACCGTTTTCTGGCCCGGCTACCAGGCAAAGTTCCTGCACTTCGCTCCATCTACCGCTTCCTCTTCCCTCAACCCCCCTACCCTCAAACCCCCGGAACAATCAAGATGCTAAAAATGAAAAACTTTTTGCGACACACACGCAAATTTTTCTTCAATTTTCCTTCTGTTGACGCCTAAATAGTTGATGAATTATGCGACAGCTGGGCGGGAAAAGTTGTGTTAAATTTCATTTTCACACAGTGGAAAATAAATTACTTAGTTTTTATAAAAAATAGTAAAATGGTCTGGCATAAAGATAAAGTTGTGGGGTTTTTGGGATATAAATGAAATCTTTAGAGGGATTGAAAAGGATCATGAGTGTTAGAATATTTTAAGCGAAGCTATTTAATAAAACTTCGTTTTCTGTTCAACGGATAAATATAATATTTTAAAAACAGATAAATGATTATAAAACTGACATTATGATAATAAGATTTTTATACTTAAATCTTGAATTTTGGACCTTTTTTGCACTGTGTGTGCGAAAGTTCAGTTTCAATTTATTTTAATTGCGCTGACAGTTTACGATCTCCCCTCCGTTTCCATCTCCCTCGCACGACTGCAATCAAAAGGAATAAATGAGTGAGCGGATGAGAAGGCGGCCGAGGACAATATAAGTGGATGGAATGGGAATGCGAAGTGGTAGGGAAGGGAGAGCATGGCCATAATCCGACTTTAACTCTTTCACCGATTCCCTGCCCTGCGGGGCCTTTCTACCGCTCCTTGGCTCGCAACAATTGTCGGAGATTTATGAACGCCTCTTGCGCTTTAAATTGAATTCAATATTTTGCAAGCGCACTGCTGCAACAACGGCAAATTGTAAACAACAAAGTTTTTTGTGTTCCGTTGACAGTTGCACTTTTTTTATGGCGATTGCACATTTCATGGCTTTCTTTTTCGCGCGCTCAAATGGAATTTTTTTTAGTTCCTTTTACCTACACAATTTTTGCGTTGCTTCGTTTTCAAGAGGTGTGAAAGGCGTTGAGTGGGAGTGCCCACAATTGAGCTGTTTTCTGTTATTTGCTGACTTTTCTCAGTTACCCGATTTAAGCCAAAAACACAAAGTGCATACCTGCAAAGAGAAGGAAAAGGAAAATTTGGAATTAGTGAAAAATTTAAGAGATTGTTCAGGGTTGCTTTAAATAAATGTACACTTAATATACGGAATATTGTTAATAGTTAATTAACCTAATTTCTCTATTCTGAGAAATAATCGTCTGATTTGTAAGGAAAATCATTAAACTGAGAATAGTTTCTATAGAATTTTCTTTACAATTCCTTTTCTTGATGGTTCCAATTTGCGAGTATCTGGGTAATTTTCGCTTCTCCCTGCCCTATTATTACGAAAGGAGGTTGGCAGGTAAGGTAAGAAATCTGTTGAGTTAAATCCAAAGGGTGTCGGTAAAGTTGGCTGACAAGATAAATTTGCTCGTTTCACACCTTGAAAAGGGACTTTACATCGCTTACTTCTACGTGAAGCACATTTTTACCAAGTTTTTCTTCGTTTTATTCCTTTAGCCATGTGGTTAATGGTTTTTTATTTGTCCATGAAAGAAGCCACAATATATAGAGCAAAATCAAGGGCGGCAGAAAACAAACTTAGCAGAAGGACCAAAAAAAACAACAGCAACGTCAGCATCACAGATGCAATACCAAAAACAGCAACACTAAGAACAGTAACTTGGCCAACAGCAACACCAACAACTTCGTTTCCAATAGCAGCAACATGAGAAACAGCATTTACAATGGCAGAAACAGCAGCGGCACCAACAACGCAACGTGCAACATAAACAACTGCAACACCAACAACACCAGCAGCAACACCATAAGGAACCAGAGCAACAACAGCGGAAAAAAATACGAAGGCAACTGCAACAACAGGCACACAAGCAACACCGTGAGCAACCAGAGCAACATCAGCTGCAACAGCAACAGAAAAGCCAATACCAATAGCAACACTAAAAGCAACAGCAACACAAGATGCCCCCACGTTGAAAATTCAAAATGTTTTCGTTTGAGTGAGCACGGCAACAACAACAGCGATTGTCGACACGGTGAGTTGGCTACGTTGTTTCTATAGTTGTTTTTGTTGTTGCCATTTTCGCCGCCAGGGCGCTACATTTTGTTGTTGTTGTTGCTTCTTTTTTTTCGTATTTTTTCACATACAATTTGCTGTTGTTGTTGCCTCTTCTGCGCCAGTCAATTCAATTTGAAGCCATTTAGCATCAATTTGCAGTAATTTGACGTATAAATTATGTCAAATTGCCGAGCAGCTTGTCATTGGGTGTATTTCGTTGTTGCTGTTGTTGTTGTTGCTGTTCTCACTCCGTCAGTCGCTCGTTTTCGGTTCCTTTGTTGTTGCTTTTGCACCTTTTTTCCCTCCCGATTTTGTTGTTGTTATTGTGAGAGATTGTGCCCGCCAGGTAAAAATAAAAAAATATAAGGCAGAGGAGACAAGAGGTGAGGAAAGGTGCGGAGCAGAGCGGCATCATCATCAAGTCCCAGTTGCCAGTTAAACAACCGCCAACCCTTCGTCCTTCCCTCTAAAAACCATTGTGTGACTTGGTTTCACCCCACCTCTTTTCATCTGCACTGTAAGAAAAATGTGGTTCTATAATATTTTGTACAATTCTTTTTTAAAGAAATCCGTACTAACACCCTTTTTGACAACTTTGCTAATTTTGTTTTTAAATCTCTTATACATAAAATTTTGGGATATTTTAACAAAGACAGAACCCTTTTCCAAGTCAGAAAAACTGTATTCCAAGGATATCATCCTTTATCATTACTTTTCAAGTTTGATTTGATATTTGCTGTGCGGAATCCACTGGGAATTAAAGATTCTTAAAGGTTAAAACCCTTTTCACTTCTCTGTCAAAAATCAATTTAATATTGTAATTCCTTTTTAATACTTTCAATATCAAAAGAAATCGCCTTTTTTCCCTCAGTATATGCCTTATTCTCCCCTCTTTCTCTGCGGCACGTTCGGCAGTGTGTGAATTTTATTTTCGCTTGTCGACACAAAAGAATTTCACTTAATACTCAAACGAACTCACACACACACGGAGGAATAAGGGTCCAGAGCAGAGGTTGAGCAGTAAAAAGTGCCTCATAAAGCCGATATATAAACTAATGCCAGAACGCGGGGAAACGAGGGAATACAACGGCGAGGGCTGAAAACGAAGAGGGGCAACAATTTTTACGCTTTCTTGAATGTTAACATTCAAAGATATCATCAAAAAATTCACTGGAAACGCTTGTACAATAAAAACAAAAATGATAAAAAAAAAAGAAGGGAGGCAAGCAAGAAGCTGACGATGCAGAAGCATCGAAGATCGTTTTCCCCTCTTGTTAAGGGGAATCAGAAAAAAAGCAGAGGATTTTGTCGCCTCTTCTTTTGTGGATGAGTTGCTGTTGCCGTTCACGCGTCGTAAACTCGGTAGCAGTAGCAACACCATCAGATACAACAGCCACAAAGACAATGCACAGGGGGAAAACTTCCGCAAATATCACGAGTACACTGATAAAAAGTATTGATGGTACACGATTGTATACAGAGGTAAAGCTAATTTTCTATTTTCTATTTGTAGAACAATAGAACTTAAAAATTATTGTAAAATAATTAAATAATATAGGAGACATAAATATATTTTATTGTATTTAGTTTTAAACTAAGAATGCTTTAAAGCATATTTTTTTCCAATCGAACTACATTTCTCATTTTATGTACTACTTTTCTCGCCCATAAATAGGCTCCCAACATCGGGGAAAAGGGAACCTGTCATCCACAGGGACCTGAGATATGCACGTTTCTCTTTCCCCAGCACTTTACTTCCCCCTTGGCTTTCCCGCCGCACTGCAAGCCATTTGAAGAATTTCCATTTGCATTTTAATTAAGTGAATGGACAAATGACCCAAGGGGCCGAAAGCTAAGCGGGGGTGGTCACTGGTCGGGCAGAAAACTTTATTATCTGTACAAGCAATTATGCATATCATAAAACACTTTAAACATTAATGAGTGTCGGCAGCGAGAGGCAGGCAGAGATGCAGATGGATCGAAAGAGAAAGGGAAAAAGACGAGTCATCTTTTGGCTGCTATAGCACTTCGTCAGCTTCCCCCCGCTTGGATGGACTCTAAAGGCCAGAGACTCGTTTATATTTCATTCATCCTCCACTTGGCCAGCTCAGCTTCCCAAGGGGCCGATGAATATCTTGGGTTGTTGGTGAGGAAATACAGAGAGGTGTTCGAGAAAAATAAATAAGACAAAACATATGGAATTACCTCGTAAGCTTTAAAGTTCATAATGGCAGTGTTATTAGTAATCGTCAACAGAATGTTCAAATTAAACAAATTTTTCAAACATTAAAAGTTTCCATCCTTAACTAAACTTTACCCAATTGTTTCTATATATTTACATTTTTAAGTTGTACAAATATTTACCCTAAGTCTGTGTTTGTTCATATTTATACTCAATCTCTTAGTTTCTTTTGTTTCCATATGAATTCTAAAAGTATGGGTATTTGCTTTCGGTGGTACTTTTTCAACAAAATCAAAAAAAAAGTAAGTAAACAAAAAAGTTTGTTAACTCCAAAAATAGTTAACAATATAAATTACAAAGTTTGGTTTATAAATGTTTGCCAAATTTAAATATGACTATTTGTTAAATATTTTTTCTATTTATTCTCACTTTTTCTGTTGATTGAATCAAATGAGCATAAATCACTGGCCTGGCCCCACTGATTTGCATGTCTATCGTTTATCGTCTGCACTTCCATCTCTAAGTGGACAGGCAACAAGAAAACGCGGGCAGAAGGAGACGCCCCCAAACGGATTCGGTTAGTTGGTTTATGGGCAAAGTCAGCGTGTTGCCACTTTATTGCCTGCTTTACATTTCTGTTAGTTTTCGGTCCGCACCCAGGGGCAAAAAACACACTCGCACACAAGCCAACAAAAACAAGAAGTGTGTGTGTGTGTAAAGTCGTGTTATGCTTTGCGGCCAAATTAAAATTCGACTTAATCGTTTAAACATTTAAAAGGCAAACTAAAAGCCAGCAGGCGTCGCAAAGTTTCCCGTTTCCCCAGCTCCTCCTTTTGGCTCCATAAAACCTCCTTCTCACCGACCACCTTCTCCATCACCTCCTGCCTTTTCCCCTTCCCCCTCCCATTCGAATCCCCTTCCTTTTGCTCTTCCTTTTTGCTTTTTTTGCATGCGCAGCTCAACATGCGCCAAAAGTTGTAGCAGCCTGTCGCTGTCTCGCTCACACAGCCAGGCTTTAATGAGTGAGCGCCATACAACAAACATGGCTGCCGCCACTCGCTCTCTTTCTCTCACTCTCCCTCTCCCTGTCACTCTCCCAAAACTCCATTTCCACGAGCAAAAGAGATGGCCTGAATGGAGATTTTTACGGGCTAAATACACCAAGTGAAAGAGAGGGAGAGGGGAAATGAAATGTTCTTTTTGTACAATTCAAAAATGTTAATTAAAATTTAAATGCTTACCGAGGGAAACCGGTGGCAAATTAAGTTTTGATTGATTCATCACAGGACCTTTGCTGAGCCGGCAAAATAAAAATGAGGAATAAAAAGTTGCCTTGACAATCGCCAACGAGTTTCAATTACCACCGAAATATCTTAACAACCGCCTGGGGTAATAAACCCAAATGGTCCGGAAAATAAATGTGTATATTAAAGCATAAAATATATATATGTGCGAACATTAGCTGCAGCAGCTAAATTATAAATCGGATTTATGGCCCATTATACTTAAGGGGGTGCCAGAATAAAATGTGTAAGCAAAAAAGTTAGGGCCCAAAGGAAAAATGATTAAAGCGTAAGCAGCTTGTCTACTAATTTCAATTAAATACCCCTGCTTTATTGCATTTAGGTTCGTATTTTAATTGTTAAGCATTTGTGTTTTGTGGAGTTTTTCAATTTGATCTTTGGCAAAGGTTATGCCATTTTTTTATTGGTTAAATAATAAATCCTATTTAAGGGCCATAACTGTTAACCTCTCTCAAAACAATAGCTAAATTAAAACCTGTATCATTGATTTGTAAGCAGCTTATAATTCTAATATTTCCTTTTTAGTCATTTTTTTTAATAAGCTTAATTCTGTGGTGTTGACATGAGCTTAGGATACTTTGACAAGCTATTATTTACAGCACGAGTCATTTAAAATCGTCAGTAGTTCTTGGCTTTAATAACATTTAAATTATTTTAAATGTTTTATACAATGTAAAAATTTAATAGCGTGGGCGTAGCTCTTTATATGGTTCCGTTTCGATTTCAGTCATTATCCGAGCACAATTTAGTAATGCTAATTTAGTTGTTTTGGCCAAGATTGCTCCTAATGCCGCGCTGACATGCAATAAAAGATTTTGTTTTCCATTGTTTCTGTGGTTTTTTTTCCTCCTTCTTTACAGTTCATTATTTTGGAAAAGTTTCCACCTCTGAAAAGAATTCCAATTGAGTGGGGAGCTCGCTCGAGAGACCCCGGCAAAATGCGAAGAACTCGGAGGCAGTGTTGTTGATAGCAATCAACATCAATTAAAGCAGCTGTCTGTCTTGTTGTTGGCCGTGTAATTATATTTGCTGCTGCGCGTTTTTGGCTTCATCATCATCATCATGATCGTTACCCATGCACCGCCAGCAACATGTTGCTGCTGCTGCTGCGCCTCCAAGTAGCAACTGTCCGTCTGTCCGCCTGTCAGTTCTGATGGCAACTGTTGATAATTATAATCCGCTTGTGGTTAAAATGGTGTTGCCTACCTTACTGGCGATAAGCGCGCATGAATAATTATGTTGCCGCTGTCTCCGAGTTGTTGCTGCTGCTAATGCTGATGTTGCTGCTGTTTCTGCCGTTGCTGCGGCAGCAATGTCGCCTGCGCGACAACTCATGAATAATTAATGCACTGCCGCGACTGCTGGCTGAAATGTTGCTGCCGTAGCAGCAGCAACAGCAGCAACTTGTCTTGGTATCTTTTCAATTACAGCAGGAAATCGTGAATTACGCCGGACCAGAGTTAGAGTTGGCCATAAAAGAGCAAATGCTGTTCTCATTGTTGATTAAACTTGACAGTCGCTATTGTTGCTGTGCAAATATTTATTAAATACACAGCAAATCTCCTCAGAGGGTGCCGACAACAATTAACACTTGAATGGCGGCAGAGCGGCAGTAGCAGTTGCAGTGGCGCAACTATTATCAACTCAATTTGAATAAATTCGCTCGTGACACAAAAGTAAAGAAGGGGGAAATGCTGAAATTCCCACCTTAAATTAAATAAGCAATGAGTTTGTCTCGCAAACAAAATATAAAAAAAAGGTTCGGGGCGGTCGCACAATTGGCACTTGAAAGGCATCAAGATACAATGGCAATAACTGCAGCAGCAACATCAGCAGGGGAGACAGCAGCAAACGAGCTAAACAAGTATTGCTGCTGTGCCGCAGCAGCAGCAGCAGCAACATCAGCAGATAAAAGGCAGACAAAAGGCACGAGATGTGAGAGACGTCTAGGGTTGCTGTTTCGCCGCTGCCCCTGCTGCATGGGAATTGAATTCCATTCAAAAGACGGCAGCAGGCTGTTTGTCATACTTGCAACAGCAGCAGCAACAGCAGCCACATTGCCAAGAAGCAGAACCCAGTGAAATGGCTTACATGCATTTCTCTCTGCCTCTCTTCCAGCAGGCGTGTTGAGGTGTGTTGAGATAGCATCTTGCATAAAATTACTGCCAGTGGTAGGAGCAACATCAGCATCTCCACCAGCAGCAACAGCAGCAGCAGGAGCAACAGCAGCAGCCACCAGCGACGTGGTTGCCTGATGCTATGCCACTGATAGCCTCGAAATTGTTGGCAGTTGCAATTTGCTGTTTGGAATTTTAAGCGAGCCAACAATGAAGTTCAAACCGAAGCGAGGGAACAAAATAAAAAACGAACAAAAAGATAAAAACCCAGAGAACCCGAAAGGAAGAAGAAAGCCAGAGGAGCCCGACAGCAACATCATTCTCATGCTCATCAGCAAAAAGTTTAACCCGTCTCTGTTTTCGATTTTTGAATTGCTTTTAGCCTTTAAAAAGATTCGATTTTCGGGGACAAAGGAAGTCTGGATTGTTGCTAGTTTCATTTTACTTATAGTTTCGGGAGCGGAACATGTCATGTTTGCATAATGCTGATAACTTTATTGGAAAACCATTAAAAGAGGTCGTAACTCTTCTTTACAGACTTGATTTTTGACTACTTTAGTTCTTAAAATGTAGCATATTATGCCTGAAGCTCAACTTTTCTTTTAAAAAAGAGAGAAGAAACATTTGTTAAACTTGTCATTTAAAGTTTGCCAACAGCTTCAACTTGAAAAGTTTGAAAATTTTATTATTTTATCTATTTAAAAAGTTAATTAAGTTACCATGCTAATTAGTAAGTTAAGATCATTTGTTTGAAAAATTCATTAAAAGTTTTATTTTTAAAAAATAAAAAAAATGGATAAAAGAATTTCAACTTTTTAACCAGCTGTGCTGAAAATGGGTTAAGTTTCGGCCTCTGAATTCGAAGTGCGGAGACTGCGCTAAATTCGAGACCTGCGATTGCAATAAAAGTCAGCAGGCAGGCACTGATGTGTTGCTCCTGCCCACCTCTCTACATCCCCATCCACATCCAACTCCTGCTGGAGCTCCTGGCTCCTTCCCCATTTGAATTTCATTTCAGTGGTGCCTTTCGTTTTTATTTATTTTTTATTTTTCAGCCCGCTTCCATTCAATTTCTGCTGCTGCCTTGCCGCCGCCATCTGAGCTTTTGCATAAGCCCGTAGTTCATTTGAGAGAAAGAAAACAAAACGAAATAAAAACGCAAACAAACCAAAGGCGAGGATATAAAAAAAATCGAAATAAGATATAGTCGGGCAGCCAGCAGCAGCAGCAGCCAGCACGATTTATGTTAATCAGACAAGAAAGGCAGGGGATTTTCGGGGAGTCAGCGCCAGCCAGTTGCATTCAATCATCTTTTATCTGGCTGGCATCGGCGGAGTTCGGTGGGGATTTCTGTTTTCCTTTCGGTATTCGGTATTATGTATCGCTTAGTTGCATTTGGCGCACTTTCGGATATTTGCCTCTTTCTCCCATTGCCAAGTCAAGTCAAAGTTTGATTCGTGTTTTCGTATTTTGCCGCAGCGAGACTTCAATTTGATTCGCCGCTATCGATTTGATTTCAATTTGCCAAATGCCCTGGCTATTTATCTCAATGACTCACTCGTTGTCCCTTCTTTTTCCGATTTGTTCAGCCAGGGTGAAAGTCGCATTCAATGGAAATGTAAAAGGCAGTAAAATACCGAAGAAATTTCAATCAAAATGTGTAATTAAATTATATTCATTATTTGTCGACTCGTTTTCAAATTTAAACTGCAATTACAGCAAGGACAATACTTGGAGTTAACCAGAATTCTGTAATAAATTATCGTAACTTACACAGAAATCAGCGATAATATACGTATTGGATCCAATCAAAGTAATTAAATACCAACCTGCAATAAGAACAAAAACATCATTCAATTAATAACAATTGCCAATTAATAAGTAGGTATGCATATTACACATTTATTTCATCGAAAAACAAATAAATGGTTTTCATTTAATTTTCAATTGAAAGCCATCAAAATGACGCACACACAATAAACCCAAACCCCAAATGGGAAAATCAAAAATGTACAGAATGAAAACGATGAAAAGATGAAAAATATCTGACGGCTGGCAAAATTCTGCCTCAAATTCATTTAGCAAGTTGAATTTTAAGTGCTCTTTCCTACTCCATCTGCATTTTTTGTTTAGTTGGGATGCTTTGGTTTCCCCTTAAATAATTCACAAACATTTTCGGGCAAAACGCTGGCAGAAAAACATATTTTTATTTTTTTTTTCTTTTGGTTTGCAGTTTATAACAGGGAAATACAGACGGCAAGAACGAATGGGAATAAACTGAAAAAGTCTACTAGGGTGTGTCAGTAATAAAGATTGTTTTGTATATTTGCTCGTAAACAAAAACTATAAATTGTTATTGCTCACTGATTTAAATTATGCCTGTTTATAATGCATTTTGCTTAATGAATTTGTATATAATCATATTGATTAAGCTTTATATTGCTAGCTGGTCACTTTGTGACATAAAGCAGTGTGACCTTAATTTCAAAATGAATGCCTTAATATATGTGTATTTCCAATTCGTGCTACTGTTAATCCACTGGATCACCCTAACCAAGTGGATAACACACGAATGACTCGCTGACTGAATGGCTGAAATGCTAAAATGACTAAAAGCCAGTCCGACTGTCCGACTTGTTCCCCTGCTGCTCCTCTTCTTTTTCTCTTTACAGTGCAGCAACAAAATAGTGCAAAAATAAAGAAGAGGAAGAAGATATATAGTAGTTGTGCCATTTTTGCGCTTTTCATGCACTTTTTGCGCCGGATGTGCAGCGCGGGGGAAAAAATGCCGAAAAAGAGAGCATATAGCAGAAGAAAATTGTAATTTCAACAAAGCAACGAAGAAAATGGCACAAAAAGAACGTTGGCCACTCCCCCACGCCCACCTCACTATTTTACAATTTTTTTATGTACACATATAGTTTTCCTCTTTTTCTGTTTTCCGTATATTTTTTTCTCCCCCGTTGAACTAAAAACTTTTCGCCCAGCGCCATCGTTTGAGTGGGCGTGGTAAATGCGTTTTTGATGCTGTTTTTCGGGTGGGCGGTTGGTAGCATTTTGCATTTTATTTTTTGCCACTGGCACTTGGCAAGTTAAAGCATTAAGCTGATGCCAATTATGCATTGTTTGCCTGCTCCATTCCCCAGTTTTTAGTTTTTCAGGAGCGATTGTTGTTAACCCTCTTCGGTTGGCTTGCTCGCCTGCTTGCTGCTATCGCTGTTGGGCAAAATTGAAACAACTTTTGCAATTACTTTCCGTAAACAAAACAAATGTGCTCGAGTCACGCAATCGGCTCTGCATCGGCATTCATATAATGGTAATGACAATAACGAGGTTGAGCGGTTTTACCGGGTAGCCGAGGGGTAAAGTATGGTTAGGATTGGTACGAGGGCAGCGGTGGCGGGATGACAGGTGGACGAGGCAAAGTTGCTCGTCTTGAACAAGTTGTTAAATTGTTATTTTAGCGCTTTGTGTTTCCCTTCCTCACTTTCGGGCCGACGGAGTGATTAACAGAACTCAGGTACGTACAGTGAACGCCCACAAATAAAGAACCCTAATTGAAGTGTTTTCCACCCTTCAATAATGGCAAGCGCTGAGCGTTGAACAAAGGGGAATATGCAAATTGCAACGGTTATAGCCAAAATAGTAGCACTCAACATGCAATCTAATAATTGAAAAAGTTAAGCTTACTTTAGTGGAATACAATGAGTTATATAATATTTAAAAATCTTCTTAAATTACTTAAGTTTGGTAAGTTGCTATTTATTATACCCGCTTCTATAGTACACACATTGATATACAGAAAATGCGTATGCACTCATCCTTAAAGTCCCCAAAACCAAAACCCTTCCCCTATATCATTTGCATACCATATTCAGAGACCGAGTGTGGTATGCAACAATTTTATTATTACGTTTATTTGACTTGCATATGTGCATACACAAGCAGTTTTCCACAGGACAAGCGGCAGCAGGATTGCAATTTCCATTGTTGGTGGCTGTTGTGAATGGGTCGTAAATCCACACAGAAACCGAGATACTCACGCATGTATTTTGCCTCTGGCAATTCTATTAAATTTCAAACACACTATGGTACAACGACTGGACGGTCGTCTCTCTCTCCATTTAATTCCGCCCTGCCATTGACATGGAATTGTTTCAACTGACCAAAATTGGAGACAGCAAAACACCTTCATTGTTATATCTGTTATCTGGATTTGTTCGGTGGTGCTTCTACAACTACTATCACAACTGCCTCGACCCCATTTTGTCCACAGTTCACCCACTCGATAATTTAATTATGCATGCCATTTAACGTGTCGGGCCTGTGTGTATTCCTGTGCAACGAGAGAGAGGAGGAGATGGAGTCAACTAATTTCAATTTTCCATAAAGCGAACATTGTTCCAGGCCAAACCGCACCCAATCTAATCAATTTTGCATATACTGCACAAATTATATTTGTGTTTTGTCCACTCCATTTTGCAATTCAAATATTATTCTCCATCCGAGTGGTGTGCGTGTTATGTGGTTTTCGCTCCTTCCTGCAGATTACAACTCCCAGTCACGTATCGTGAAGTATGAGAATTCCGAAACCAAATTGAGAATGCCTTTTTATGGAAAATTCTTGGCGCTTTTTCCTGAAGAGCTCTACAGAAGTCGCTTGGTTGTGTTGTGTGTGAGATACCCTGATTTGGTTGAAATAGTTTTATTTAACTTGTTTTTACCCATCTCCATTGATGGAGCTTTGTCAAAAAAATACAAACAATGTTGATTCAAAGCTTTTCATGTTATAAGATGATCGAATTCTCGTCCGCATGTTAAGTTTAAAATACG